GGTCATTAATCAAACACTGTAACTCAGGAACAGACGGGGAGATTGTGACCACCTTTCACAGCTGGTTGTACACTGAATCGATGACTCAAAGGTCAAAGGTCAGCATGACTTCAAAATAGCGTTTTAGCCATAATTTGGTCCATTCCTGTGAGTATAGTGTGAAACAACTTTAGTGAAGGGAAATAAAAATAAAAACTTAAGCATCAGAAAAAAAAACAACTAAAACGATATTGTGTACTTACAAAACAAACTAAAATAAAATAGAAAATATACAAAGAAATTTAGTTAATTTGGTCAAATTTGAGGCGTTGGTTCATATGATTATTGATTATTATTATTATTGATCTACGTGACTGTTAGTCAATGTGTTTAAAACCTGTACTGAAATCATTTAATCTTGATACTGACAAATACCCGCCATAATATAATAAAAAGATTAAAACTACCACTAAAACTAATAAAAACTGAACTGAAACGAGCAAAACTGATGAAAAATACAAATAACTCTACTTGGAATAATTTATATGTACCATCAATATATTCATTACCACCATGCAGATATAACACAAGCCTGGATGGACAAGGATGTGAACTGCTATTTGACTGGCTGGCGGAAGCATACAACCACAGGATGGTAATTCTAGTTATTTCCTATAAAGCAGTTAACCTTTAACCCACAAGTCCAATCAGACAAATCTCCGCCAAAGCCCATTAGACCTCTGTCGGTCATCGTGCCCCGGATATTACAGCTGGCACACGTCCCTTTGAGTGTTCTGCCCTGGTGAAAGTGCCCATTATTCATCAGACAACCTTGTGGTATCCCGAAAGAGCTGCTCAGTCACTTCAGCTTGAGCTCCCTGTGGACGTCGATGTGTTTGGTATGTTGTTGTAACAGCAGGAGCTGGAGGAGAGGCTGCAGGCGCTGCAGTCTCACGGCCCGCAGACCGAGCCCTCTGACCAGTGTTTATTTCTGCCGGGCCCCACCGTTTATTTTCAAGAGGGTATTAATGTCTATTTTGATATGCCTCTTGTGTTATTTTAGATGAGTCATTGGGGAATGTGTGGGTACATGTGAGAACAGTCTGTGCCTTGTGAGAGGACGGGCGAGACGCACGCACGAGGGAAAGGCTTGTATGTGTGTATGTGCGTGCGTGTGCATTTGTTCTCCTGAAAACACTCGAATGATAATGTAGGCTTCTGTATCCTGTTGAGCAGAGGAGCTTGTTTCTTTATCCGTACTCAACAACGCTACCAAGAGATGAGAATAGACCATGTGAAAGGGAAAGTCTTTGTAAACATTACATAATAGTTCAGTTTTAAATAATAATACAGCTGCAACAAAATGAGCTTCATGTTCTTTGTTTTATGTCTCTATTTAGAGGGAAATAATGTGGACAGCCTGTAGCCTGACTGTCCTCTGTTTGTCCCCCAGACAGTGTCAGTGTTATGGTTGATGGGGCGAGTCCCAGTGGAAAGAGTAACCTCTTTCAGGCCTTCAAAGAGAGGCCCTGAGGTGGCCGGCTGTCTCCATTGTCAGTGATTGCCCTGAAGACTCAAAGAGCATTCATAAGCTTTGAGAAAGTATACATATATGACCTTCATGGTTTAAAAATATCTCAATACAAAGAGGGATGACAGACCTGTGTGTGTGTGTGTGTGTGTCAACAGCTTTACAAAGGTCTCTTCTATAATGGTGGTTAAATGGTTTTTGGGGCTGCAGTGCCCCCTGGGACATATTACAAGCAAGGCTGATAAATGGGGGTCGTATTAGCTTGACTTCAAATCAACCGTTAACAGTGAACATACAAGAGGAGTAATCAGCTTTTTTCATTCGGTTGCTGATGTCAGTCTTTAAAGGAATAGTGCAATTTTGTGAGAAATCTGAGAGTTAGATGAGGAGATTGATGCCACTCTAATGCCTTTAAAGGTGCATTATGTAAGAACTGACGACCCATCGAATTCATACAAACATGTAGGGGACATCATGTCACCATGGTAACTGCTGCACCTGTAGGTCTGCTGATAACGGCTAATACCAGTAAGCCAGGCACCAGGGCCGAACTATGAGCTGTACCATTGAACTGTCACCTCTTGAGGTCGTACAAAGTATGCTAACCACAGTGTATACCTCTGCAACACAATGCAAAGACAGTTTTTATTTACATTCTGTTGATCGTTTTAGTTAATTTTTGAATGTTTTAAACTCAAATTCTTGCATATTGCACCTTTAAAGGACCAGTGTGTAGGATTTAGGGGTCTCTATGGACCCTGACCCGCGTTGTCTGTAGATAAAAACGTCTCATTGTAAGACAACGAAAACCCAGCGATTCTTATTTTCAGGTGAAAATAAACTAATGAAAACATACCTATGACTATTATATTCCATTTCTGCCAATAGATCCTCCTAAATGTTACACACTGGGAGTACAGAGCTGGAGTCAAGAGGCGATTAACTACCTGGGCTCTGTCAAAAGTTAAATAATATGCCAACCAGCAGCTCATTAATTCACTTGTTGTTATAAAGATAACAAGTTGATGTTTAGCAGGTTTAACATTTACCCTCTTCATCATTGGTTTAGCGTGTTAGTGTGCTGACTAATGCTGATAGCACTAAGTACAGCTGAGTTTGAAGGGAATGTCATGAGTTTTGCAGATAGTAGACTAAATATTAAAATATATAGAAAACTTAGAGGACAAATTAACATGAATGATGCAAGGTTAGAAGATCGGGCTTCATTCATGCCAAATTTGAAAATCCATTCAGTAGTTTTCATTGCCGTACCTAAAGCCGTGTCATGAGCGTGGCTGAAAACACGAGCCGACATATAAATAGGCTTACTCACTCTCTAATTTTCTCTTTTTACACTTTCTTCCTCTCTCACTTTTCCTATAATTATTCTCTCTCCTCTTTTGCCCTCAGCAGCACTCCACACTCTGTTGCTGGCTGTGGACCGGTGCATGCTGGGACTGCAATAGCAGCTATCATGAATAGACCTCTGTGCCACAAACAATGACTGCTGAAAAGACAAAGAAAATATTGTTTTTTTTTAACCAGTGGAAATGAATGATTAATGTGTCCCCGGTTTGAATGGAGCCCGGTGAAAAGAAGTCACGTCCTCCCAGCTTCACTTCAGACTACAGAGAAACTCAAACACATGAAATCTTTGAGCTTTTGTTGTGTTTTATTGTGTGTGTTTGTTTTTGTGTGTGTGCGTGTGTGTGTAGATATCAGTACAGATGTCAGTGTGTTATGGAGATCAGAGCTGAGCCAGACTGACAGCCTCCGTCAGGGACGACTGGAGGACGTCGCAGTCTTTGTGATAGTAGAAGAGGTGACTGTAATCCTTTTTGTCCTCTCCTTGTCTTTCTCTCGGACTCCCTCACAATTCCCTTTCTTCCCTCTTTAATCATATCATATCTTGTTTTTCAGCTGCAGATAAATGCAGAGTTAATGTAGGAAGCTGTTCACCTTCCATCCTCCCGCCCCCTCCCCCCGTTCTTTGCTTCGAGCCATCAGGTGCATTGGACAGCTGCTTGGCTGATTGAACTGTGGAGCGATGGATTGAGAGGCAACTGCCAGATATTGATTGCCTGCAAAAGCCTCTGACCTTAACAAGAGCAGGCTTAGAGTAAAAGCTGTTTGTCAAATTCTGCTACGATATTATCAGCGCTGCTGTTCAGCCTTCTGTTGGGTTTGCACAAAATATTGACTCAGGGTGATTAAGAGAGCAAAGAATCCTGACAAAACACTGTGCTGAATGCCAGAAGTATAGCTGAAATGATGAATTGTAGATAAAATTAGGAGATCCTTGTTGGAGAAAAAAGTTCACCAAATCAATCTCTCTCTCTCTCTCTCTCTCTCTCTCTCTCTCTCTCTCTCTCTCTTTCTCACAAAATGTCATATTCTCTTGTTACTGAGCTGTTTTGTTCCCATTTTGGTCCAGTCTGAACCTGTTCCTGACAGCACAGTCGGTCGATGGTGTACCAGCAGGAAACCCCCGCCCCTCGCCCCCCACTCATCTCTGTTTTTTTTTTTTATCTGTCCTTGAAGCAGCGGTACCGCCATCATCTTTGTCCCAAGCTTCCAATTTCGTCCTCTGAGGAATTATTGGCTTGTCTGTCACTTTCTTCGTCACTTTCTCCTTTATCTCTCCGGGCGAGACAGGAAGCAAGTATTTGCTGGCCAAATCAGCTGAAATACGTCAGCTATTCTGACGTTATTTTCACAGTTTCTTTTGTCATGCTAGGAGCTAATTTCAAGCTAAAATCAAGAGAATAATATGTATTAGTGGATTTTTTCTGAAAGCCAGTGTGTGTTGTGTTTTATGATGTCCTGGTGTGTCAGTGGTCTAGATACAAACAAACCACATGACTGAAATGTATCACTTATATGGTGGATTGGAAATAAGTGGGCATTTAGGCCTTATGAGAGATTGTGTTGCATTATGGGAAATGTAGGATCCAGTGTTTTGGGAGCTTGAATGATACTAGAGACTAAAAGTCAATTTGTCTCTTGTGAGTACCCCAACTTTATAGAAGTGCAACACCATATTGCTGCTGTACCCCTTTAACTCAAGGTCCCCTTACTAAATATTCCAGATTTTGAGTTCAGATTTATTTTTATGTCAAGAATGAACTTTCACTACTTGAACAATATTTTTTTTTGGTTGACCATCTTTTGTATTCACATATTGTATTCATACATTCTTCTTCCTTGTCAAAACCCTACACCTACATTACCCACAATGAAACTCAACCACTGACAGATAACAGAGATTCGGGTGTGTTATGCTCTAACTTAGCCTCGAGCTTCTATTCATAATCAGAGATAAGGAGCTTCTTTTTAACTCAATCCCAGATTTTTTTTTAATTACAGACACTGACTCAAGTAACATCACTTGAGGCAATTTATCAGACTTCACACAGCTCCTTCTGGAGTCACTCAAGGCTTTATACGACTTTTCACATATACAGTAGTGTGTTGTCTTTCAGGCATAAATTCGAATGAACTTTTATTTTGAAGAGACTCTTATTTTGAAGGGCTTTTGTCTCGCCGGAAAGTTCCTGGTTCACAGGTTGTTTGGATCAGTAGTTTGAGGAGGCTAGCTGGATTTACACAGCTACATTTCTGTGTTCAACTGCATGTATTCAACACTGTAAACGCCACAGAGGCAACGTCGTAAGTGAATAATTTCATAGTTATATTCATAAGTTAGTGGTAAAAATATTATTTACATGAAGAAGGCATTTGATTTATTTGTATTTAAAAACGTTTTATTTACACTTATTTACATGAGAAAAGCACGTTACAGAGCTGAATGGTAATTTTTATATTTGTCTTTGTTACAGTTTTCACTCTGACCTTGTAAAATGAGAGAAAGAGCCACAGTAAAGAGCAACTAAAGCTTACTACGACTCAAGTCTTCATTTGAGAGGAAGAGTTTAGCTAGTTGTATAGCTGCAGTTGCTACACTGCAGTGAGGACAACATAGTGAAAAGACGTTAAAAGGCTGGCGTCGTACACCGTGCTAAGATGGAAGCTAAACAAAGTGACAAGATTTCTGTGGCTAGTAGAAGAAGTTCACGGTCATCTTCAGCATCCACTAGCTCATTAATACGTGCACGAGCTAAAGCAGAGGCAGCTAGAACACGTCTTGCATTTGCTGAACAAGAAGCTAAAGCTAAAATAGAGAGAGCTGCTAAGGAGGCAGAGCACCAAAAAGAAAAGGCTGACAGAGAAGCTACATATCAGCTGGAAAAAGCAAAGAAGGATGCTGAGCTAGAAGCGCTCACTATCCGCAGAGAGGCAGCAATGGCTGAAGCGGAAGCAGCCGTGTGGGAAGCAGCAGACGCAACAGAAAACTACGTGCTGTTAGGCGAAGTAGGCCCATCAGAAGAGGATAAAATGTTACAGACAGAAGAATACATTACATCTCACTTCAACCCACAATCATATAAAGGCCATCCTTCTACCGACTCCCCAGCTCAAGCAGCCATTAAAGCTAGCCAGTCACCAAGTCAGCCTCCTGGTGTGTACGTCCCACCATCAGTCAAGATAGAAAATCAGGCTCCACATGGAGAATCTGACCGGCAGAGGGACTCCACAATGAGCCACACCAACTTGAACAGGTCATCACAGCCCTTCTATCCCCAGAGTGCGCCAACAACTTCCCACAGCGGACCCACGACCGAACACCTGGCACAGTACCTAGCTCGTCGGGACCTGGTGAGTTCAAGTTTATATCAATTTGACGATCAGCCTGAACATTATCGTGCTTGGCAGTCATCATACATCAGTGCCACTCAAGGGCTAGGCCTCACAGCTACTGAGGAATTGGACTTAATGACAAAATGGCTTGGTAGAGAATCCAGCAACCATGTCAAACGTCTACGGTCAGTGTACATAACAAACCCATTCATAGCACTCACGAAGGCCTGGGAACGCCTCCAGGAACGTTATGCAGCACCTGAAATCATCGAAAAGGCTCTTTTGAACGGCTCGATAATTTCCCAAGAGTTTCAGGAAAAGAACAGGTGAAGCTACGAGAACTAGCAGACTTGTTAATGGAAGTGCAGTGCGCCAAGGAGGATGGCTACCTCCCAGCTCTCTCCTATCTGGATACTGCACGCGGCATCGAACCTATAGTTGCAAAACTGCCCTATGGGCTTCAAGAAAAATGGATTTCAGTCGGTTCAAAGCATAAGTAAGAAAATAGAGGACAGTTTCCACCATTTGAATTCTTCAGCAAATTTGTGTGCAACGAAGCTCGTAAAAGAAATGACCCTAGCTTTGCTATTCCAGGTGCTAGCGGCTTGCCTGCAAAGTCTGAAAAACGTTCTTCAAAGGCACAAAGTACCCTATTTCGGTCCACAAGACAGTCGTCGCCTCTACAAGCCCAAGCATAAACAAAGGTGTCAGCGACCTGAACAAAAGCTGTCCAATACATGGCAAGCCACATCCCCTCAAGCGCTGCAAAGCCTTCAGAGCCAAAACGCCGGAGGAAAGAAAGGCCTTCCTCAAAGAAAAAGGAATCTGCTTTAAGTGTTGTGGCTCCACTACTCACCTCGCTAAGGACTGTCCAAATGCAGTTAAGTGTTTGGAGTGTGATAGCACCTATCACGACTCTGCTATGCACCCTGGACCCGCACCTCAAGTCAAGGCCCCCACAACTTCACCACACAACGGCGGGGAGGAGGAAGAGAGCAGCACCATTAAGCGGTTGTTAACTCAAGCTGCACCGAGGTCTGCGGCACAGGAAATATCGGCCGGTCATGTTCCAAGATTTGCCTCGCGAAACTATATCCTAAAGGACAACCAGACAAAGCTATCAAGGCCTACGTCATCCTGGATGACCAAAGCAACCGGTCACTGACAAGGTCCAGCCTTTTTGAGCTGTTTAACATTGAGCGCAAACCATACTCTTACTATCTAAAGACATGCTCCGGAATAGTGGAAACATCCGGGCGCAGGGCTGAAGACTTTGTGGTTGAGTCACTCGATGGAACGGCCACAATCCCTCTCCCACCACTTATCGAGTGCAACCATATACCCAACAATCGGTCCGAGATCCCAACTCCAAATGCAGCTCGTCACCATCCACATCTTGTCAAGGTAGCAGAGCGCATCCCAGAGGTTGACCCTACCGCGGAGATCCTCTTGTTGCTTGGTAGAGATATAATAAGAGTGCACAAAGTTCGGGACCAAGTCAATGGCCCCCACAACGCCCCTTTTGCCCAACGTTCAGACCTAGGGATGGGTGCTAGTTGGAGAAGTCTGCTTAGGGAGCGCACATAAGCCAACAGTCAACACCTTCAAGACAACCGTGCTCGACAACGGCCGGCCCTCCTACTCAAACCCTGTACAAGCTTTTTGCACATTAAAGAAAAGGTTAATCATGGCGGAGAGACACAAGACAGGTTTTCGGAAACTAGCAAGTCTGCAGAAGAAACGTTGGGGCAAACCGTTTTCAGTCACACTGAACAGGACCACAAGCTGGCACCTTCAATCGAAGACGACATCTTTCTGAAACTAATGGACAAAGAAGTCTACAGAAACGAGTCAAATAGCTGGGTGGCTCCACTCCCATTTAAGCAACCTAGACAACGCTTGTCTAACAACCGAGAACAAGCTGTCAGACGCTTTGCATCACTCCAACATAGCTTGAATAAGAAGCCAGAGATGCAACAACAATATGTGGCTTTCGTAGGGAAAATGTTGGAGAACGACCACGCAGAGGTAGCTCCATTACTAGGGAGAGGACGAAGAATGCTGGTACCTGCCAACCTTTGGAGTGTACCATCCACGAAAACCTGGCCAAATAAGGGTGGTATTCGACTCAAGTGCCAAATACTTAGGCGTTTCTCTCAACGATGTACTCCTACAGGCCCTGACCTCAACAATTCCCTTCTTGGAGTTTTGATGCGGTTCCGGAAGGAAAAGGTGGCTATCGTGGCAGACATACAGCAGATGTTTCACTGCTTTTTGGTGCGAGAGGACCACAGAAACTATCTGAGATTCCTGTGGTACAAGGACAACGATCCGACAAAAGAAATCATAGACTACAGGATGAAAGTTCATGTTTTCGGGAACAGCCCGTCCCCTGCTGTGGCCATTTACGGACTCAGAAGAGCAATCAGAGAGGGTGCACGAGAACATGGGACTGACACTGTTGACTTTGTGGAGCGCCACTTCTATGTGGACGACGGCCTTCGTTCTGTGTCGACTGATGCTGAAGCCATCGACCTGTTAAGCAGAACACAGACATCACTGGCGGAATCAAACCTCAGGCTTCACAAGTTTGCCTCAAACAGCCAAGCAGTTCTGGAGCTTTTCCATCTGAAGACTGTGCTACAGTCGTGAAAGATGTGGACTTAGGTGGAGAGGCCGCACCCACTCAACGCAGTCTGGGTCTCTTGTGGGAGATAGCAAGCGACACATTCACCTTCTCTGTGGCAAACGACATCAAGCCATTTACTCGCCGTGGTGTCCTCTCCACGGTGAATAGTGTTTTCGACCCCTTGGGTTTCCTGGCCCCCGTAACACTTCAAGGAAGACTCCTCCTCCGGGAACTCACCGCTGAGCTGTCCGAGTGGGACGTACTGCTACCTGAAGATAAATTCAGCAAATGGAAAGCTTGGCAAGACTCGCTTCAGGAGCTGAGACACCTCCACGTACCACGGACATACACAGCAGCTTCGCTAGCCAAGGCAGTGCATACAGAGCTCTGTGTGTTTTCCGATGCATCTATCAAAGCCATGCCGCCGTGGCGTACTTGAAGGCTGTACAAGAAGATGGACAAACTCACATTGGTTTTGTCATGGCTAAGTCAAAACTTGCACCTCAGTCGGAACCAACTATCCCAAGACTCGAACTCTGTGCGGCAGTCTTAGCAGTGGAAATGGCAGACCTGATTCACGACGAACTAAATTTGAAGCTGGATTCCACAAGTTTTCACCGACAGAAAGTGGTCCTTGGCTATATCTATAATGATCCCCGATTCTTGTCTACGTCCATAATAGAGTTCAGCGCATTGCCAAACTACAAAACCCGACAATGGCACTATGTGCGCACAGAGGATAATCCTGCAGACCATGCATCAGGTCCATTCCTGCCTCCTCCTGGCACGACAACGTGGTTAAAGGACCTAACTCCCTACTCAACCCTCCCAACAAACCAGATCCAGTTCAGTCATTCGACCTGGTCAACCAGAACTGGACACAGATATCCGTCCACAAGTGGAAGCTATGCCCAAAGCTGCGAGAAGCCTTAGCCGGCGTTTTCTAGATTCTCTAACTTCCAGTCTTGTTCGTGCTATAGCACTCTAATTCACATTGTGAAGTCCTTTAGCTCTCTAAAACACGGACAGTGTAGGGGTGGCATAAGTGCGATCTGTCTCGAACCCCAGATGAACTATCGCTAGCGAAGGAGTCATATTGCAGCTGTTCGGAGAGCATTCTCAAAGGAATTTGAAGCTTTGAACACAAATAAGCCAGTCCCTCTAAACGCAGCCTATCGCCTCGTCCAACCTTGCAGAACAATCTCATCTGCGTTGGGGCCGACTGAAGAACGCTGACCTGGACATTGGGAGAGAACCCCATAATCCTCCCAAAGGATAACCACATTTCCCTGTTACTCATCAGACACCATGCTCAGGTCAACATCAAGGCCGTCACCTGACGGAAGGGCTGTCAGGCAGCGGGACTTGGCTCCTGGGAGGAAAGGCTCATCAACTCAGTCTTCACAAATGTATAACCTGTCGCAAACTAAGAGGCAAATGCAGAGCAACGCATGGCAATTTGCCTCCAGAAGCCTCAAACCTGCCCTCCCTTCACATCGTGGGATTGGATGTCTTTGGACCCTGGTGCTTACCCCAGCGACAAGAGGAGGACAAGCTGGAGCAAGCGGTGGGCCATATTGTTCTGCTGTATGAGTTCCAGAGCTGTCCACATCGAGGTCATTGAGTCAATGGACACTTCAAGCTGTATTAATGCTTTAGGCGTCTCTTTGCCATAAGAGGACCTGCCAAACAACTACTATCTGACTGCGGCACAAACTTCATAGGAGCATGCAGGGAACTGGGAATGACAAAAACCAACCAGCGCCACTGTGCGGGTATCTAAACCAACAAGGGTGCTCTGGGAATTCAACCCCCACACGCCTCACATGGGTGGTTCTTGGGAAGACTAATTGGGGTGGCCCGAAGAATCCTGGACTCAATGTTTCTCGAACAGCACACTCGGTTGACCCACGGGTTTTGTGCACGCTAATGGCAGAAGTGACCGCTATTATAAATGCAGGCCACTAGTTCCAGTTTCAACGATCCTGAAGATCCATTCATTCTGTCCATCAATGCTCCTAACCCAAAACTGGAGTTCCACCTCCACCAGGGAATTCACAGATAAAGATCTCCTCCCAAGCAGTGGAGACAAGTACAAGCTCTTGCCAACAAATTCTGGAATCGTTGGGTCGGTATTTGCCAACCTTGCAGTGTGCAGAAATGGACCAAATCCCACCAAAACCTGCAAGTAGGAGATATCGTCCTTCTCAAACACAGTCAAGCTACCCGCAACAACTGGCCCATGGCTATGATCACGAGGCCTTCCCTGGAGAAGGCGGAAGGGTGAGGAAGGTGGAATTGAGGACCACAGATCAGGGACATTCAAAACCTTCTTCAGGCCAGTTCGAGTTGTCCTACTTATTACTAAAGACTGATGTACAGACACTCATATAATTCAAGGGGTCATTAATGACCTCACAGAGGTCAGACGGGGAGTGTGTTGTCTTTCAGGCATAAATTCGAATGAACTTTTATTTTGAAGAGACTCTTTTTTGAAGGGCTTTTGTTGCCGGAAAGTTCCTGGTTCCAGGTTGTTTGGATCAGTAGTTTGGGAGGCTAGCTGGTTTACGCTACATTTCTGTGTTCAACTGCATGTATTCAACACTGTAACGCCACAGAGGCAACGTCGTAAGTGAATAATTTCATAGTTATATTCATAAGTTAGTGGTAAAATATTATTTCATGAGAAGGCATTTGATTTATTTGTATTTAAAACGTTTTATTTACACTTATTTACATGGAAAGCACGTTACGGCTGAATGGTTTTTATATTTGTCTTTGTTCGTTTTCCTCTGACCTTGTAAAATGAGAGAAAGAGCCACAGTAGGCAACTAAAGCTACTACGACTCAAGTCTTCATTTGAGGGAGGTTTAGCTAGTTGTATAGCTGCAGTTGCTACACTGCAGTGAGGACAACATAAGTAGTACTCCCCAAGATCTTTTCTCACATTAAAACAATAACAAAAGACGAAGTTTGATGACATCGTGAAGTAGCGTGGTGGAGGATCATGGGAGTTGTTGTCTTCACCACCATTGCTGTCATTGCAGTCAGCTTCTCCCGGTTTGGATTCCTTCAGTGTTCATTGTTCAGGCAACTGGACAACAACAACTCAACAAAATATATAACGCAGGTCGAGTGTTTTTAGACATTTTAATGTGGAAATGTTACATAATTATAGCTTTAGGTGCAATTTCAAATACAGTGACTTCAATTTCAATTTAATGCAACTCTCGTCTACTTTGTGAAAAGATTAAAAGTATTCTTGTTTGGCTCTGAAAATGCCTTCAGAGTATTTTAGAACATTTATTAGGATTTCTGGGTGGCTGCCCGTCACCCAGTCAGGAGTCTGGCCGCTGGCTGATTGTAATTTCCTTCCTTGTTTTTAAGGTTGGCTGAAGGTCACTGAGGAACACTTCCTTTTCTGTCTGTCCTGTCTCCTCTCCTGTCTCACTTCTGCAGTGCAGCCCTATGCTGCACTTTGTGCTCTTTATTTATTATATTCATTGATCAGGTAAGAGAGCAGAACACGATACATTTCTGGAACAGGTTTTAATTAACTTTAATCAATGAATCAGTGCTCCTGTATCAATATGTCGCACCCTTCCCACTCACTTTCTCTTTTCGGGAAAATAATAATCACTGCTGACATTTTTATTTCCTCTAGGCTAAGCAGTAGTACCTCTTTTGTCTGCTACAGCTACCCCTCCTCTTCGCACCTATCTCTTGTGTTTGTGGAGCAGGTTGGGACTGAGCAGTGGGAACAGTTAATGAGTGAATGTAGATAAAACTCAGACTCCCGCAGCTTCAACCACATCAGCTACTCTTGTGTGGAATGTTAATTGTAAGAGAGTAACACTGCCTTTCCGCTGCGCTTTTTTTTAGCCATGCTAGCAGCACAGCTCTGTGGATGGCAGTGTCAGTCGACCTGCCACTTTAGTACGGACGGAAATATCTCAGCAATTACTGGATGCAGGTGCGGATCTAGAGGGGTGGCATGGGCTGCTAGCTGCCACCTCAGCTCGGTGTCAAATGCTTTCAAATTTAACACATTGATTTAGATTATTTAAAATAGAAAAACGTGTTAATAATATAATTAAATCTCCCATCCCACATAATTAAAATAAATGATCAGTTAAGGCATTTTAGACTGAACTGAATTTAAATGAAAGAAGACATGTATGTATATGCATTGATTTCTAATGCTACATTTAGACATTTCTATTCGATTATTTACTAATGTGCCACAATAATGTAAAGTTTCCAATATAAGATTATTGTATTATGTTAAAGTCTCCATGCCACCGCCCCTGATCGCTTAATTCTGTCTAAATCCTTATGATTTGATCCCCCATGAAGTTCACATTTATGGTTTTGGGTGAAATGTCTCAACAACTATTGGATGGATGGCCATAAATGGTAAACATTACACCTCCTTAATATTAGCGTGTCACCACTGTCATCGTGCACATGATGCCGTGCTAGCGTTAGCACTTAGCTGTGCCTACATTCACAGAGAGCTGTAGACTCTCAGTCTACAAACACAGCTCAAGCGTCCATAAAGCAGTTCATAAACTTCATCTTATGCGTTGATTCATCCTCCTTTCACTCTGCAGCTTCCTTTCTCTCAGTGTCCCACTTTATCTCACTAGTGATTTGGGGAGGTTATACATGAAGTCAAGCTAATTGATTTGGCTTAAAATCCTCTCAGTGCATTAACTCGTCAGCCTGCTTTTTTCTTCAGGAGCGTGACCTCAGAGCTCCCGCTTCCTAAAATGAGCATGAAATGAGATGACTAATCCTCTCCAATTACTCATTTCAGCAAAAAATATACCTGCCAACATACTTTCATTAAAGGGTGTTAAAAGCAGGGATGCTGGGTAATTGCTCTATTTTATATCTCGATGAGTTTAAACGCACTGAACAAGTATAATATTCTTTGATGATTTAATTACATGGCATGCATCATTGCCTGAGACAGCGTGACAATGGGCGTTAGACCATTCATTTGTAGTTTTTAAAGGTAATTTGTCACATTTTTCTGCATTTCTTGGTATTTCTCCTCCCTCCAGGAGCACATTTTTTAGTTTTTATCTTTGGCATCTCTTTGGTATTTTAGTTGTCAGTCACAAGCTGCGGCAGAGTACATTACGGTGTCCTCTTTTCTCTCTGTCTGACATGTTGGTTGGTTTCAGCAAGACACCGTGTGAAAAAGGATGTCTCCTTTACCTCAGAAAAAAACCTTCCTCCCTTCCACCATGGCCCTGTCATCCAGTGTGCAAGTAGGTTTTTTTTTTTTTCTGCTTTTGACAGATCTCCGCTACAGTTTCTCCTTCACTGTATCTCCTCCAGAACTCCTTTACCTGCTCTCGGCTGTCTGCTTCCTACTTCACACGCTTCCTCCGCCAAATTCATCACTCCAAGTATTTTCAACTCATCTGCCATGAATCCCCACTGAGGGCTTCACTAGAGTTTCAGTGGATGTTGATGTGATTCTGTCTTATTTATTTTGTGCAGGAGCTTAAATTCTATGAAAATGGATTTTAACAATAGATTTCATGTACGTAGAAGCCTGTGGGAGTGTGAACATCTCTGCATTTTGTCCATATTCCAATTTAAATGGTTCAGAAACATCCAGAATTTGAGCATGAAAAGCCTCTGAACCCTCAGAGGACTGCAGACGACCAAGAACAACTGATCCAACATCAGTTTTGGTATACCAACCCTTGATTATTTTCACACTCAACATCTGGAAATAGAAAGAACAAAACCCTCTTTGAACTTTAAGGTAATCTGAGTTTTGAGGTTTATGGTGAATTCAAATCCTGTTGTCTGGCACCCCCTACTGCCTGTTACTAATATCTGTGAGACCTCTTGATCTAGCTTCTCTATTAACTGTGATGGCAGGTAATTTCAATGGACTACTTGATAAATTAGAGAGTCATAAGTGCTCTGGGACCACGACTGACGATCAGCACTCTAATTTGTGCTTTTTCTATACAGTAATATATTTTTCTCCCCACAGGCAGATTTGCAGCATTGGATTTATATTTTTCAAGATGTTGTAAAAACACAAAACAGTCTATTTTTCTTCTTTAATTGTAATAATAATTATATGTTACTGTTATTATCCTATGAAATTATTTCTGATTATTCTGTATTGCTCACTGGTGAAAGATGCTTTCACTGGAGTACTGAGAAGTAGGAAATATACTTGATGCATATGATGGATTGATCAAATCATTTTTCAAGCCAAAAGCCCCCAAATGTTCTGCTTTTCTTTGTCTTTTAGTAAACTGAATATCTTTAGGTTTTGGGCTAAAAGAGATATTTGAAGACATCACATTAGGAGTACACTATATCTGATATTCTCTAGGACAGATGGTTAATTGATTAATTAATTAATTAATTGAGACAATAGCCATCAGAAAAGTTGATAATTAAAATGTGAATTAGTTGCAGCCCTGCTTTACATTGTGACTTGCACATTTCACATGTCTCCTTGTGTCTTTGATCATTGCAGTAGCTCGGGTGGCCCTCCACACTGCACTGGGACTTCAGGGACTAATCACAGATAGCTGCCCATCCTATTTCCAGTTCTCACAGTGACATTCACCTCAGGGGAGGGCTCGGCAAGGTTGTAGACAAGAGAGGTCTGCATTTTCCACAGAACTTCTCTCCCCTCGCCGCTGCTGCAGGTCAGACAAGGTGACGGCTCTCTGCTGACTGTGATTCATGGGTGTGCTAGGCAGCATTTAATGAGAGAGTAACTCAACCCTTTTATCACACCGAGTGCTGAAATAACAAATGAGCAACAGAGGAAAGAAGGCTGTGGGTTTAGGACTGATCTGGTTAGTGTTTAATGGTTTGCTTTATAATGGTGGTTAAATGTATTTTTCGTTATTTGCAGAGCATTATTTAAGTTGTTTCTGTGTGAGCAGATGTCCTTGCCTATGGCCTTGCAGATCAATAAAGTAAAAAGCCAGAACAAACACTGGACATCACAAACAGAGTATCTGTGTGTGTACAGTGTGTGTGTGGATCTTTCAGCGCCACTAATGTGATTAAAAGAGGGAGAGAAAAAGAGAGTGAATTACCTAAAGTAATGCCAACTTCAACGTTAAAATGCAAAGTAATTGATTAACCCTATTAACCTTACTTTTACTTGTTCCTCAAATGGTAATTTTCCCTTTAGCTTGAGCCACTTTTTATGGGAGTGATTGTACCTTTACTTGGGTATGGATTTTTTTCACTACATGTTATGGACTAAATGATGATTTGATTACTGCAGTAAAATTATGGGCAGATTAATGAATAATAAAGATAAGTAGCAGCCCTTCTGCCGACCCTCTGAGAGTGGGAACAGTAACAAAAGCCTTACTTCTCCTCCACCTTTGAAGAGCGTCAAAACTGGCCGTTAGAGGAGGTGAGGTGGGGCCCATTCATAAATTTGACTTGAACAAATACTGATAAACATGTGTCTCTGAGTTTGGATGGAACTACAGTAGACAGAAACAGAGAGTGTTGCACCACTTTATGTGACCACCTCTAGGTGTCATTTGAAGCATCCCAACCTTTTGTCTTGAGACGACTTAAAAGGATTAAATGTCTACTTGCTGCTGATCCTCATCACAGATTACATCCGTACTGTATGTCTGCCCTTTGTCGACAGTCAGAGGACAGTTTCAGTTCAAATATGATTTATTTCAATCGCTGGCAAACTTTAAAATTGTTCCTGTGTCTGCTGTCTGCTGTCATTTTAGTGTCATATTGGTCCTTTCATATTTCATATTGGTACTCACAGATCCAGATCCATCACTCTTCACCCCTTCACCACCACCACCACCACCAGTGTCTAGACTCCATCGGGGGGATATTACAGCTCATGGCATCAGTATCACCTTAAAATAATGACATCACGATGGGGTCTAATAGCCAAACACTCCTCTCATATTTCTGCAACTTTCCTATTGTTCAACTATGGGAACAAATGAATTACTCTCCAAGTTTCCTTTTCACTTGAGTCACTCCTGAATGGAATAAATGGCAGAAACATCTTTTATTCTGTCGTCACCTTGATCTGAGCCAAGACTGGGTAATGTTCTTTCATTTATTTACAAAACACTGTGTATAATACATTACTGACTAAATGTGATGTCTGTCTACAGCAGGATGTGTCAAAAAAAGACACAGGCTTCTACAAACCGTACCTCTACTGCAGCACAACAGCAGTGCCAAAGTTGCTGTTAAATCCAAACGAGAGCAAATGTAATCTGGGATCGAAATTAAATCAACACATAATGTACTTTCTGTTCAAAAAAAAAAGGAAGAGTGCGCTACAATTCAGCCCTTTTTATTGTGGGTTATCTCTAAATTGCTTCTATATTCAAGCGCTACAGTCATTTGGCAGCTGCTTAAGACTTCCCCCCCACTTTAATTACGTGCAGTGCATTTAACTGTCAGCTCAGGTTTGGCAGTTTGTCTGCTGTCTGCTAAATAAAACATGAAGCGTCTATTTCTGTCCTCTCCAAAAACACTGTGCTCAGGAAGTGACTGCTGTTGCTGCTGCTTACCTGGCCTGTTGTCATGTCAGAGATAACTCATCATTGGATGCCAGAGCTTTGATTAATGACCTTGTGTTTTCTACAGCAGATTTCTATGTGTTCATTTAAAGTATGAAGGTTAAATACCACAGCTGATGATGGTGTAGCCTAATAATTACTCTATTGGGGGAAATTAATCTTTCATTGTTACTTCTTTTTACACAGGAGCAGATCAAAGCACACAGAAATACTCAAGTAGTTGAAATGTTGGAGCAGTTAGGGGTTAGGTGCCTTGCTCGAGGGCACCTTTAGCTGTTCCCCCTGGAGATGGCACCTCTCCAGCTGCTAGTCTACCTTCATATCGACTGGTCCACGCTGGACTTAAACTGGCCACCCTCCAGTCGCCAAGCCATGTCTCTATAGGCTGAGCTACTGCCGCCCCTGTTCAGTTCAGCAACAAGAATGAGGAGCTGCAGGGACAATAAATAAAAAATACTACAGACTAATGCAGACATGAGACGTTAGTTTAGTTTGTTCAGCAGGTTGTTCTGTGTTTGAGGAGCCTTATTATTACTCACTTTTCCTACTAAAACTACTTAAAACCATTGTAACAATACACTTTAATCTGTCTTTTTCACAGAGAAATACATTAAACAACAATTCCCACTTAACAATTGTCACCAGCCAGAAGGTGTAAACATTCAGGGATTTACAGCAGCTATATGCATTTTTCAAGCCAGTTGTGATAATAAAATGCCTAAAAATATGTACATCGTTTGGGGAAAAAAAACATGATAGTTGCTCAGGGAAAAAACATCATCCTCTAGAGTGTAAATCCTGTTTGTCTTCATCATTCTGAAACCAGAACACAAGAAATGTTGAGGATGACTAATTTTCACTCCTGCCACCTAAAAAGAGGCAAAAAAGGTCTGATTATTTTATTATTTAGGTTATATAACATAGGTAGGGAAGGAATTTGGCATGAATTTGGTCGAGGCAGACGACCACCCACCTAGAGCCGAAGGGTCTGTCCTAGGTTTCTGCCTCTTAAAAGGCAGTTTTTCCTTGCCCCCGTCGCCAAGTGCTTGCTCATGGTGGTACTGTTGGGTCTGTTATAAGGAGTTCAGTCTAGACCTGCTTCATTTGAAAAGTGTCCTGAGATAACTTCTGTTATGAATTGGCACTATACAAATAAAATTGAATTGAATTGAATTGAATAAACAGCATCACTAATCTTGAAACCTATTTTTCCAAAGTCCACAGAATTGATGTTTAGCTTTGTTATGTCCTTAATTATATCCAGTTCATAGTTCATAAGCTAATTTGCTATTTAGCCACACACAGAAGTCAATAACCCCGCCATGAAAATTGTTAGAGCAGACCTATAGATGGCGATATTTCCAGTAATACTACTTTTGCTCCAATGATTTGTCCAGACAATGAGACTGAGGGGAAATGTCACAAAGTGGAAGTTATTTTAAAATCTTAAAAGACATCTGATTGTGACCATACATTATCTGTGTTACACTAAACAACTACAAGTTGATGCAAAATGATCATCCAAGACATGCAGAGCAACTACGAAGTGGTACAACTTTGCAAAAGGACCATAAAGTGTGATGCATAACGACCACAAGCGTGCGTGTCATGCAGAAGGCTTGTATGCAGGAGGGGTGTGGGACCTGTTTTCTCATAATCTATCCATGCCTGTATTCTATTTATTGATATAATTTCTTCTTAGAATATTTACATACATACATACATACATACATACAACATAAGTTGTTCATTACATACACTGAATAAACATTGTAACCATAATCATATGAAGTGGATTATTGCCAAAGTAAATTTAAGTCTTAACACATTCTAATTCCCCTTTTTTGAATGTTAATGGCTTATTCTGTAATACATTAGTACATTACTTATTACCAATAATAAAACATAGTTAACCTGGAGATAGTGTAGAAAGGGGTTACTTGAGTGTGATTATTAAAGCATTATTAAATATTAAACCCAAATAAATAATAAGATTTAACATTTACACCCTGCATCACATGTCAGATTAATCAGTTTTTACAAGAAAAAATATGATTTCATTGACAACTAAATGTGTCCAAATGTAAGAATTTTAGATTTAAGCTCAAGTTTATTCTGTGAATGTGTGGACAGATGCTCTAAAGCGGGGGTAAAAGAGCCACCTCGCCCATGGAGGAATAACTTGATGTCTCCTGTAGCGCAGAAAATATTTAAAAATGCCTCAAATCCGGATGCGCGCTGCGTCCGGACATTACGGGAGGAGAGTCCTCAGGTGAATGTGCAGGTGATTGACAGGTGAGAGAAGTGACGCATTGGGACGGACCACGAGAGCAAACTGAAGATATAGACTGGATTATTTCATCAACCAACCGGCACAGGTATGGATGTGAGAGGTCGAAAGGAATATTAAGGTAAGTTAATGAACATGAGTGTATCGTTAATTCATCACTTTGGATGCTAAATGTCCCATAAGCCAATTCGCTGTGGAGACAAATACAGAATATGTCATGTATATAAAGTTAGGGTGGGTGTATTGCTGACTGATGAGCTCTGAAACAACGAGCTTACAGTGGAGTAATACAATTTAAAGATCACTGCTGGATATTGACATTCTTAATTTCATGAGGATGTTGTGATAGATAATCTTATAGAGATAAGTAAAAGCTGTGTGCAAATATCCATGATCATCAGGTTGATGCATATGATTAAAGAATATATATTTCACACAATAATGTTATTTAGTTGTTTAATTTAAAGGTGAAATTCAAACATTATGTTTATTCTATTATGTCTGTAAATTGTAGTGGAGGTCCCAGTGTTGACAAATGTACCAAATATGTCTAATTTAATACTAAATTTGGGGGAAATGTCTAAAATTATGCAAACAGGGGCAGTATGGAAATAAGAAATGGCTGCCCATCCCAGTTTGGTGTCAAATGCTGTCAAATTTACATTCATTTAGATTAATTTTAAAAATAACAGACTAACTGATGTATTTGGAAAAAATGTCTGAAGATTTGGAAATAAAACAATTTATTGATTTCTAATATTCTTCTTAGATATTTCTATTCAATGCTTTACTAATGTGCCACAAATGTAACAGTTTTGAGTTATAATATCTTCTTTTGGAGGCCTTTCCGAGCAAGTACTGATAGCCTATATGTGGTTGTCAGCATGCCGCCCTCTTGGTACCACATTAATCTTTCTCCAAACATGACAGATGAAAGCCGTCCAAAATCTCACTCTGTTAACTTTTTACTGGTAAACTTTAATGATACTAAAAACAATGGATAACCCACTTTTCCCCTCCCTCCAACCCCATCAGGACATCTATGGAGCTGTGTGGTCCCAACATGAGTGAGAGTGGAGGCTCGCTGTGCCAGGTGAAGCAGCTTCCCCGCCACAGTGTCCCCCTTTGTCGCCTGCAGGCCAGCAGTGGACACCACATGCATGACCTCCCCCACCTCACCCACCAGCCGTGGGTCAACCACCCGGTTCCTACCGTCGCCTCCAGCCCAGCCATCCGCCACAGGGTAAAGGGAGCCGTGATGGCCGGCGGCGGCAGCAGCCAGGAGTGTGCGGCCTCCAGACTGGGAGAAGAGGCGGCACTGGCCCGAGGCATCTCCACGGGGAAGGTGTTGGTGACAGGAGGAGGGGGATACTTTGGGTCCAAGCTGGGGAGAGAACTAGCCACTCAGGGGATGTCAGTGATCCTTATGGACATAAACAAGCCTCCCTGTGATTTCCCTGATGGAGTGATCTTCTATCAGGTATGGGACAGTGGAGAGGGACCTGACTCTGTTGTGTGCTTGTAAATTTACTCTGTAAAATCCTGCTGTTATACTGATTCATATTTCTCTATATTTCAACTGCAAGTTTACCCTGAATAAGGTGATTTATTCTTAGCCAGTGTATCTGTACAGAACACATAAACACTGACAAGTGGATTACATTCAACTGTCGTTACTCTTTCTTTTTTTTCTGGCATTTCAACCAGAAACACTGTCCCTCCATTACTTTTTCTTTATCTCTGACATGTTAGTCCCTTTTCTACACTGTGACAAAGAGCACTTTATAACAGAACCTCATATTAAAGGCCTAAAACTTAAGGACCAGTGAGCTTCTTCTTGTCAACTACAAAACAAACGATCAGTTACATCTACTTCCACACAGTTTGTGAAGAGGAACAGAAGAAAGCATTGTTTTTATTTGTAAATTAAAGGTTGGGGTTAGCAATTCTGGAGAAATCCAATATCATGACAAATACTTGATATAGTGTGAACAGTTGCAAATAATGTTACTAATGTTCCAGCAGCTATGTTGCAGCTAACATACACACAGCGATACTCTCCTGCTGCTATAGCTAACATCAGAACAACAGCTTGTTCTTGGCACACTAGAAAGTAACCTGATTGTCCATTGGCAAGTAATTTAACACACAAACCCTGGCAGGAATATTAAAGTTAGTGTTGTGTGGCTCGGTCCGATCCACCTTGTCTGTTTCCTGTTCATGGCTGTGTACAAACAAACCAAAATGGATAGTTAGCGGACATTACTTGTAATCGCAGAGTCCACCTTTAATTTTTTAATTAACAAACTTACATATTACATTTTAATATCAAGTAAAAGTCCAGATACTTAACTGTTTCATTTGATTTCAACCAGGGGCCCTAACTTATGGGACTCTCATTCTCACAAAAAATGGTTTATAATCTTGCTTTATATATTATTTAGGCGGAGGTCATTACTGTAAAACTCTCCCAGCACTTGAATCCTCATTGTTATTTCTATGTCATTTTAAATTGTGCAAACTTAAACTCAAACCAACTGTAACACACATACGACCTCATATTTACTGTCTCACATTCAATGAGTAAAACATTCTTGGTTTTTAATGTTTGCTCTCTTTCAGTACACACTGGTTAAATCCTGCTTACAGTAATATGTTTGACTTCTTGCTATAAACAACATGGAATACACACTTTGTGTTTGAACTCACTGCACTGCTCCGTGCAGACTTTAAAAATCAATTTGTTGCTTCAGCGAGCGTCAGTGAGTCTCTCTGGTGAGGCTGCGAGCTGGCTGGAAACAGACACAGGTGAGTGATCCGCCTCAGAGGGCCAGCTGCTGACTGGGTCGAAGAGGGTGGAGACATGATTCGGGTTTCACCTGCAGGCCTCATGGCACACTTACCTTAATTACAACTGTCTTTTCATGGGATTGTTTCTAACTCACTGCCCTAAATGAACCTGCAACACAACCGCTGTGGGCAGTAAATGTACTAATGATAATAACCCTTAAAAGTGCTCAAAGGCAATACTGGCTGGCTTCTAAGTGTCCTCCATGTTTACATTAATTAATTAAATGTAAAGCTTCTTCCCCCTTTTCTTACAGAGTGACATCCGGGACTATTCCTCCCTCTATAAGGTGTGTGAAGGGGTCGACTGTATATTCCACACGGCGTCTTACGGCATGTCCGGACCAGAACAGGTGACAACTTCCCTTCATGTCTTCTTCAGTATCCGCTTACTACTCATCATTCAAAGAAAAGTCAGAGACACAGAGTCTGTGTGTCGTAGTGAGGATGTTCATGAAGTGTGCTTCATTCTCTTCAGTGGCAAAATGAAGAATTCACATTACATTTTCATTAATTTAACCTTTAGTTTCACCCAGAAAGACACATTGGGGAGTAACAGCTGTGTTATACAACTGAGTTTTTATATATATATTCATGTATTTATTGGATTTTCTTATTTTTCCACAATAATAACACAAACATGAGCCACAATTACATAAACAAAAACAACAAAAACAGACTCCTTGTAAAAATAATGGAAGTCTTTGACAGTGAAGGAGTTCTCTGAAACTTCCTGGAATGATTTAAGGTGGAGTCAGTAATTATGGAGAAATATTGTTGGTATTTGAACTCAACACACATTCAGCAGGTTGGCATGTGCCAGATTTACCATCCTTTTCCGTCCACTACGTTCCCGCCCCTCCCTCTGTCCCATGCACTAGCATTGTTGCTGATTGGATGGAATAGTGCAGGGTTCCCACGCATCCTGGAAAAACCTGGAAATCTAACTTTTAAATTTTTTTCAGTCATAGAAACACCAGGAAATTGATTAAAATTACCTAATATCCTAAATATAATCTACGTTGTCCTGGAAAATTCTAATTGTATTTTAGCCTCTCACTAATCACTCGTCTGTTGGTAAACTGCACAATACGACACTTTGAAGCAGGTTTATCAGACAGGTTCAAAACAAAAAAATGCTCCTTTTTCATTTCTGTTCCCATTTAACTGTCCGCACCAGAGGCGGAACGGACGAGTCTACTTTTTTGGGAATTCTCAGAGAAGCCCAGTGGAAATGTTGTAGACGGTCATATCTACATGCGTACAGCATATTAATGATCTATATGTTGTTTTGGTTTATACATGCATTCATAATTGGCAAATAGGTGAGAAGATTAATTTTCTGTAAAATAAATCCTACTTGATTTGAGCTGTTACTTATGAGCCGTGGCCACATTAACGTTACTGTTAGATGAAACTGTAGTAAACTTTAGTCCATTCGCCGGAGCCTGCAGCTGGATGTGGTGAAAACCGTTAACTAACGCAGAGTGTCCCATAAACGCTGACCCCTTACTTGTAATGAACCTGAGGCACTTCATGAACCCTGCATCATTAAACTAGGATTAAAAATGTGCCTGGAAAATGATTTCTTAAAAAGAGTTTGAACCCTGATAATGTTGTGTGACTCAGTTTGGGTTTCCCATTTACAGAGCCAGGGCGGTGTACCAGCACTTCAGTGCACACACAGAACAGACAGCTAGTGGACCGTGAGGAGATATTCGCTGAATTTCACAAAACGTTTATCCGATTAGAATCGCTGACTGCACCTTTAAGTCTCAAGCCTTTGTAAATCATTATCACAGCATATGTTATATTAGACCTTCCGTGCTCAATATTTACTGTAGGAATCACAAGTTTGACAAGCTGGTATCAGTTAATGCAGCCACGAGGTGCTAGTCTAAAGCAGAGACGAGGAGCGAGCTACAGAGTTCTGGTAAAGTCACACTTCTTTCTATCTCCAAACCTACAGATTATTTTCAGTTTCAAATTTGTAGCCTTCAGTCCCAACCGATGCTGACTGATCAAATCAAGTCAATTGATCAGTCAGCCTTTTAAAAACAGTAGCTGTTGAGCCAAAGTGCTTTCCAGTCGAGGCAGATAGGTTAGCGTTAGCCTCAATACAGGTGTACATGATTAAAGGTATAGAACAAAAAAATGTAATAATACATAAAGCAATGCAGAGAAAACAAGACTAAAAATGGAAACCTAAAATAACTGACAGGACAAACTCATAATCCAAGTAGTGAAGTTAGGAGAAATAGAATAAAACCAGCAAAAGATTAAAATACTGTGAGAGGACGTCCTATATTCAGGTGATTATACACTAATGAAAACATACCTATGAATATTATATTCCATTTCTGTCATTAGATCCTTCTACATGTTACACACTGGACCTTTAAGGGTGACCTTTTGTTCACGAACAAGTGTAAATAAATCAACTAATACAGGGACAAATATCCCTGCCCTAAGCCTATTGTTATCATCCAATAACCCAAACTAAGGTTTACATACAGTAAGCTGCTTATGGCACAGCAAAAGAAAGGGTGTAGTTAAATTTTTCCATTTTTCTGTCTGGCAGCTGAGGAAAGAGCAGGTGGAGTCAGTCAATGTTGGAGGGACCAAAAATGTCATAAACGGTAAGAATACATGTATTTATATATTCAACAGCAAGCATCCCACATACACTTTGATTAATAAATCAGATTAATTCTGAATATCATTAGAAATATCATCGGTCTATTGTGTGTTTTTAAAGATTTTCATGGCTTACTTAGCCTAAAATAAAATAAAATATGGGAGCAGAGATATTTTTATTGCTTCATACAATTAATGTCTGCAATAGTGAAGCTTAATTTGATATTCAGAAGTCAGAAGAACTTGAGGTAATATTGATGTGATAACTTTTCTATGCTGCTCTCTTTCAGTGTGTAAGGAGAGGAGCATCCCCAGGCTGGTGTATACCAGTACCATCAATGCGGTGTTTACTGGGAAACCAATTGAGGAGTGCGATGAGGCCTCAATGCCGTGTGTGCCCCCCGACGTAGTGAGTAAAAAAAATGAAAAAATAGAACCATATCAACTGAAATGTTTCCCACAAACTCTTATAAATGTCCCGTCACTCACGTATCACCGAAATCATGGAATGAAGACCCCAACAAAAGACCGAAATTTGTAAATATCCTATACATTTGCCAACAATAAGACATTTTCGATGCTCCAGAGGACAATATAATGCCAACAATAAAACTATTTCTTTCTTTTCCCAGCACATCGACCACTACTCCAGAACTAAAGCGATTGCAGAGCAGATGGTCCTCTCTGCCAATGGATGCTCCCTGAAAGGTGTGAACGCGATCAGTGTGTGTACTAACAGCATAATCACAGAACTACATGAACAAAAAAAGAGGGGTGGGTGGGGTGCAATCAGAGGAGACTGCAACCCTAGTCTTTTGGTTTTCTGTGTAAAAAAAAATGTTTGTTGAAAGCAGTGAGGCGGTGGTTGCCATGGAAACTGGAGGGTGCAATCAAATACGACACCAGTTTAAATTTGGAGCTGGGGAGGGCGGTCCGTCGTGCAGCAGCAGCACACGTGACGGACAACTTTCTAATATGTTATAATGGGTTTCAGGTTCCTCTATGTTCTTTACATTAACAGGTGTGAAGCCTCCTGTTTCCTCCTTCAGTGCAACACTACACCGTATCGCTGACCACCACCTTATGCATTCAATTAAGCTCAGAGCTAAGAGCTGTCTCATTATATACTGCAGGTTAAAGTTCATGTATCTGCCACAGGAGGATGTGTTTTTTGTTTTTCTTTTCCACCGCCTTGGGCTGAAAGGTGTGGTGGCAGAAAAGACGCCTCAGAAGTTACTCACCCACAACAATTTATGCTACTTGCTACACTACAATGCTACTTTTCTACTCCAGCAGGTTGATATGACAAGTACAGCTGCCAGTTTTCACATTAAGGTTTTACATTTAAATGACCAGTGTGTAATATTTAGGAGGCTCTGATTGTTTCTACAGTTGCCCAGAATGGACAAATCAAAGAAGTGTATTCGTGCATTTCCCTGCCACCATAGTTTTTCCTTTGCATTTGGAAGGGGAGGGAGAAGCGAGGGAGTTGCGATCTGCAACTACACTGCTATATGTCACTAAATCCCACACACTGGACCTAAAAAAAAAAATGATAGATTTATAAAATACTATAATAATGCATAAGAGTAAACCAGTTCCAGCCTTTTTTGTTAATTACCCCGAACAAAAAAGAAGTCATTTCCCCCTCTCAGCGTCTCAGATGTTTGTATGTAAGTACGAGGCACAAAGAGCTAAAATCCAATATTTCAAAAAAGCAAAACTCTGAAATCAATAAATCTGAAATTAAACATGTCGATGGGTTGTTACTAACACTAACTCTGAAACTCTGAAATCAATAAATCTGAAATCAATAAATCTCAGTATAGCTGATTCCGATTAGTAACAAAATGCCTTGATCGGCGCTGAACGGATCGGGACATCCCTAATTACGATACCAGTACCCATAAAGTGATACATATACCAATAGAGTATCATTCAGTTCCTGGTGTTGAAGAAGCCTTGTGAACATGGTGCAGCTGTTTACCCTCATGCTTTCTTTCTAAGGTACTTCATCATGTTACTCATATTTTTATTTACCCAGTTTTTGCTGCATTTTATGCATTTATTTATGTCAGTCAGTGTAGTATTGCCATACTTTTGAATGTTTTAGTGGCATCCAACACCACACTCGACTCCACCACGGTAGTGGTCCAATCACAGGTATTAAATCGAAGAACGCTGTGGTTGGCTGCAAGCATAACCACAAAAATAGTAATATTTTTTGTAGATCTGAGTGCCAGAAGGATGAAATGAAAGTATTGTTTGACTGGAGAAGTTTCAATACTACTGTCTGGGTTATTTCGGTCAGTACTTTAAAGGTATCAAATACCAAGATCCAGTATGTGAAAAAGCTTCCATATAGCTAAAAATATGCTGATAATGACCACTAAAGTTTGTTCTTAATTTGGCTTTCATGCCATCATGTTTCAAAAAACAAATAAAAACATATATTCAGCAAATGTTTAAATCCTCTCTTATAAAGGGGGAGGCCAGCTTCGGACCTGCGTCCTGCGGCCCTCCGGCATCTACGGCCCAGACGAGAGGAGACACCTTCACAGAGTGATGGTGAGAGACATTTTTATGTTTTATGTCTTATGATGAAGATGAATTCTTTTTGTGTTGGCACTGGAAAAAGTATACATCTTGCAGTGTCTGAAGCCTCCCTGGCAGAATGTGTTTCTGGCTGAAGAGTTTACATTATTGATAGAGCTCTCCAGGCATCCAGTTACGTCCCCCTTTTCTTCCAGCCTGTCGTCTACAAAGCCGCAGTGCAGTCTGCTGAAGGGCTGCATGTGGTTGGTTATGTTCTGGGTTTAGTGGCCAAGACAGTTGACGTTCTATATACTGCATATTGTAGGTTGCCTCCAGCCTTATCCACCAGCCTGGAGTTAATTAGTACAAAAAATGTGTTTAAATGTAGTATGCTCAAACATGTTTTACCCCAAAACTGTAAATTATTTATATTATGCCATAAGTTATTATATCTGCAAGGCAATTAATAATTAATTAAGCCAGGATGATTTCTGCCAACCTTCTATGGATTTTATCTTTCTGTTATCTATGGTCTCCTTTTCTTTCAGCACAAACTCAGCTGTAAAGTCTGACTTCTTATTTTGTCAATTTATCTGTGTAAAGCTGCCAGAAAAATACAGAATATATTTTATTTAAATGGCACAGGCACCTATAAACCACAACAAATCTTTAGTCATAATTGCTCGAAAACAGAAAACAAATACAGCAGAAAATGTGCAAATATAAGACTATAACATACACCGTAATCAGCCAACATTACAATATGAGCACTGACAGGTGAAGTGAATGACACTGATTATCTGGTTATCATGGCACCTGTCAGTGGGTGGGATATATTAGGCAGCAAGTGAACATTTTGTCCTCAAAGTTGATGTGTTAGAAGCAGGAAAAATGGGCAAAAATTTGAGCAACTTTGACTTGGGCCACATTGTGATGGCTAGACGACTGGGTCAGAGCATCTCCAAAACCCCAGCTCTTGTGGGATGTTACTGGTTACCTAAGGTCAGCTGCTGAGAATCTACACTAATAATAAACAACCCTGAATGATGATGTTTCACTGTTCGAGTAGGAGCCGGAGTCACAAAGTGTTCTAATTTTTTGCTTAAGTTTCCTTTTTTTTTCTCCAATCAGTAACTTCTCTTGTCATTTCGGGTACCTGTTATTCCTCACCTGTCATGTAGTTGCCACACCTGTTCCCCATTTCCCCAGTTGTCTGCCAGATATCTGTACTACCCAGTCCTGACAGTGGAGCTTTCGGTCCTGTTTTGTACCTGCCTGTTCCCTGTTCTGCCTGTTTGCCCCTGACTGATCACCGTGTCTCTGTGTGTTTAACTGTTACAGCCAGTTCTCAGTCTTGCATGTCAGAAAGCAATAGATGAAAGCAACAAACACATGGCCAGAAAACACGCTGAAAAATTAATAACCACAAAACAAGCAGCAAAACAAACTGTCTTCTTGTTGTCCCTCGTCTCTCTCTCTCAGGTGAATGTGGAGCGACGGTTGTTTGTTTTCAGGTTTGGTGACCCCAAGGCCAGGATGAACTGGGTACACGTAGATAACCTGGTGTTGGCACACACGCTGGCAGCCGAGGGCCTCACACTGCAGAGGAGCTATGTCTCTGTGAGTTGGGACACACACCCATACATCCAAGAGATCGGAGTAACTTTCAGCAATAAAACCACACAGAATAAATCGGACCTACAGATTCACAAGCATCAAAAACTGTTTGGAAGTCAATCCTGGTCCAGTGTGCAACCTATACAAGTGTGATGTAGAAACTTGAAGCCTCCAGTGCACATACACTGAGAATGGACTACTACTCTCCTACTGAAGTAGGAAACATCTTGTGTCCAGCAGGAAAACTTTAGACATTAACAAAATTTGCATATTCATAGATTGTTGAATTTTTAATGAAGCAGAAGGAGTAGATGTCTTTTTAAGGGTTTTAATGTAGAAATTATACTTTTTTTGGACAAATAAATACCAGACACACCACCTCCAAGCAGATTATTTATGTATGTCATATATGTACTGGAGGGGATCTTTAAAGATAATGTGCATTGTTTTCTGTTCTTTCGCAGAGTGGACAGTCCTATTTCATTAATGATGGAGTTTCAGTCAATGTATTTGAGTGGTTGAGGCCGTTGGTGAGTTAAATTACATTTGACATTTTCCTTATTATCAACAAATCTCATAAAAACACCAAAACCAACAATGAATAATAACAAGTATGATCTGTGAGTAAAAGTTTGATATATTTTATTCCTCTGTGCATAGAGCTCCAAAAACAATAAAAAAAACACATAAATGAGGCACACTGTTGTAGTGGGCTACATCTTCAGTAGGAACAAATGGACTTGGGTCTGAGTGCTGAGAAATGGACTAACTCATTTGTTAATTTTTGTCCATTTCAAAAGATTTGTTTGAATTTACTCCCCTTTGTTTCATGTTTCTGTTGCAGTTTGAAAATCTGGGCTACAGCCGACCGCTGATAACCCTTCCTGTTTCAGTCGTCTATTTAGCAGGTAGCTCATCTCGCTTTTTCTAAAATCTTTTTTATCTTTTGGATACCCCTCAGGTGTTTGTTTAAACATGTTGATGGATTGTTACTAACACTAACTCTATGTATGTTTTTCTTCTATTTTCAGCCAACTTGGTAGAATATTTACACGTAATTCTGAGACCTGCGATAGAAGTGCCTCTCCTATTTACCCAAAGTGAGGTAATTTTGCCTCTTTCTGCCTCTGCTGCTTTTAAAACCTTTATTCTGACCTGAATGAACCATGTGTGCGCTCATTATAACACATCTATGGTGTTGAAAGTTACAACGCTGTGGACCTGTGTGTGAACACATGCATGCAGAGGTACCTACTGTATCTAATTGACAGCCTTGTATGTTGCAGATTGGTTACCTGCTCTCTTGTGAGCAGATTCTTATTTAAGTCTCTCCCACAACAGTGAAGACAGACTTCATTAGGGCAGGTATTTTCCTATCAGCCCCTCTGCTCTCCACCTCCCCTCATCTCTCTTGTGCATGAATTATGGAAAACTACGTGATCCTTTCTTGAAGTCAAAAATATGAACAAATAACAAGTTCTCATAGTCAGTGGAAGCCTTTTAATACTGTCTGCTGGTCTGCAGCAGTATTAAAAGCACAGGAATTGTATCGGGATGACGGCAGTTTGCAGTAATCCTGCCCGGGGAGGCCTTTTTACGATGCATCTTAAGGAGCCTCCGTTGCGGCCTGTAAGGTCCCTCATGAATGTGTGATGAGGCAGAAACCAAAGCTGAGCCCGTGGGCCTGCACCTGGAGCTCATTCTGTCAGACAGCTGCCGGCCGGGGGATCGATGATTGTCCTGTGAATAAAACATAATCTGCTGTGGGTCAGAACAGGAAGTTCAAGATGAGGTTTGCAGGAAGTGACCTCAGTACAGTGGCTGTTGCTATGGTGAGCATAGTCGGGCAGCCTCTTGGTCGGGCTCAAATGAACCTGCCAACTCTCAGGTTAAGCCATTGCGTGACGTGCAGAGGAGTTTTTCCTCTCTTACATAAAGTCCATGTCTGGGAACACATGGAGGGAGACGCAGTTTCAAATGTCAAACCAACTGCAGTTTAAACACCGCAGAGAGCTGCATCAAGGCTCACTGCTCAACAGGCTCTTATCTTGAAGCGTTCAATAACCTTAAGTCTGGTGATATATATTTTTCTTAACAAATCCCATTAAAAGACCAAAACCAACAATGAATTGATCCTGATCCTGTGTATCTAAAGCCTGTTACATCTTATTCCTCTGTGCTGCAGAGCTCCACTGTCGACCAAAAACAGTTAAAAACACATAAATGAACCACGCTGTTGCACCAGTGCAAATGTTCATACATTATGTTGAACATGAACACTTTAGTTTACTTCGATTCAATCACACATTCACCGTCCTGCTGCTGTAAAGAGCACCAAATGTGTATTACAGTATGTCTTCAGTAATACTGTAAGGGCTTGAATCTGAGTATCACACAGTGCTTGAAATGGGCCAGTACTTGCCGGCACTACTGAATCTTTTCCACAAACACCCTTACTTCTTTTCAAGTCCAGGTACACACCCCTAAATACCTGCATAAAGCTTGATTACTTTCCACGAAAACCTGCCTGCCTCTGATTGGCTAGTGTTTGTTGCCTTTGTTGGTTTGGTGGGTTAGGTTTAGGCATGAGGAGGGAGATGGTTAGGGTTAGAGAAGAATGCAGAGTAAGGGAGGATTACGGGTGACAGAGCGCTGAAAATAGGTTATTGTTATCAATATTAATCGCCTTTTTTGGTCTAATTCAGGCACCAGTACCACAAACAGGAAATGGGGAAAAATATAGACAGAAAACTGCAGCAACCCAATGCTCTGATAAATTATCCAGCGTTAGCTGCACATCATTATATACAAATGAGGCAACATAAAAACATTTTCTTTCTCTCAGAATGATTATTTTTACTCACATAGGAATTTTAATGCTTTTACTTTTACTTACTTACATTGACGTATAAGTACTTTAGGATCTCAATAGTTCTTCCGTCACTGCTAGAAGGCAAATTTTATGTTCTTGGCCAGATATTAAAAAGGAAACTTGAATCACTACCACATTATTAAAATATCATCTATGTCCTGAATTCAGTGAGGTAATGCCAGTGGCAGTGAATGACTTTTTAATGCAGAATCGTCTCAACTGATGGAAAATTGAAGGCAGTTAAAAGGCATAGCGATGAGACAGGTAAATATAAAGATATAGTCAGGTTGATTGTCAGGTCAGACAGGATGAGCAGGACTTGGTTGTAGCGTCTGTGTCTAACAATGACGATATACTAGTAGATCAAAAAGTAGCAACCTGCTATGACTCATACAGTGGAACTGGAAGAATTCCTGTACGAGGTGTGTGCCGATTGAAGCAGTTTTGCAGTAAGAGAAGAAGAACGGGCTTTTGGGAGGATTAAACAAAAGGGCTTTAAAGAGCTCCTCGTGTCCTGATGGTGTCAGTCTGAACTCTTCAATGCGTGTACTTCACATGCAGACACCTTATCCCCGGGCGGTAAGAAGATGCAGTAACCGGAGGCACCAGTCAGTCACAGGCTATCAGGATGTAAAACCACGTTTGCCAAATAGAGGTTAATCTGAACCATTAGCTGGACAGTATGACCTTTAACTTGGTCTCTGCAGCAGCTTAAAGACCTTCTAGGGGTGATTTTTGTCTCAATGGGAATCCTTTGTGAACTATCATTTAACACAAATCTTCCACTGCAGGTGAGGAGCATAGCTGTGAGCCACACTTTCAAGATCGACAAGGCCCGTCGAGAGCTGGGTTACTGTCCGAAGTCCTACAGCCTGGTGGACTGTGTGGAGCAGTACCTGAAGACAAGACCGCCTCGCTCCAGCCGGCCTCTTTCCAACCTCTCCTGGACCCCCAAGCTGCCCCGATACCTCGTCCTGCTGCTGCTGATGGGTCTCGGCCTGATGCTGCTGATGCTATCCTGCATACTGTCCTAGAATGAAACATTTTTTCTCTGTGAAATACTGCCCAGCTGCACAATAAATCTTCATCTACATGTGATTTATTAATGAAACTCACCAGATGCAATAAAATACACCCTAAGAATTAGTCTTCAGGACGTCAGGTTGTGTAATTTCTCTGCTTAATTTTTCGGCGACGGTCATTTCTTCCACATTTTTTTGACGTTGGTAGGCTATATTTGTGTGTCTGATTGCAAAAGGAAGAAACTACCAGGCTGCTGAAAAGTATTAAACCTGAGTTGTGTGAATGTTCTTGTTTTCTCTACAGTTTGAAGGTTACTATGATTTCATTAAAAGGAAAAGAAATATCTAACTTTGTATTACAAATATTTCATTGATTGCATTTACCTCCAGCTTCTATGGTAAATATTTGTTGTGATTTACACATCTTTAGAGTTTAATTAGTATTTAATTAGTAATTTTGTACTCTTTTAGCAATAAAAGCATCAACAATGAATTCCAACGACCATTTCATATCTATGATCAGCACACTCCTTTCTCTAAATTCTCTTTTTCTCACTCAAAAAAGGGAAAAGCATTCATTTTTGTTAAAATATATCCATTAGATAAATGATGTGTTATCCAGCACGTAAACATAGGCTGGTGGCCAGGTCAGCTGCCACATGAGGGCGCACTTGCACCGCCAATGATCTAGTCATCTATAGTCATCTCTATCAGCAGCATGAGCCACACAGGCGTATGTGTGGTGTTTTGACATAACTAAGCACACGCGTGTGAACTAGATCCGTGCATGACTGTATTGGAAAAAACTGATGAAATCAAAGGCGCAAAATGAAAGAAATCTGGCAGCGGTGGGATTCGAACCCACGCCATCGAAATGACTGGAGCCTAAATCCAGCGCCTTAGACCACTCGGCCACGCTACCACTGTTCCGCTTTGGAGGCATTCACATTTAAATCACTATATTTCCTGTATTTGCAGCTTGTGCTGTTATTGTTATTGTGAGACACCCACGATGTGAGCTTTATAAGGTTAGTATTAGGCCCATAAAAACACCGTTTTATGTTTTTTATTTCTATGTTGTCGATTAACCGAACGTCTATTTACAGCCTAGTAATAGATTTCAGATTAGTTTTCTAATTCGTGTGAGTAATTTTAGCTCTTAGTATCACAAGCTTATCAGAAATGGAGCAGAATCACCACATTATATTTTTACGATATTGGAGTATTACCTTGAATTGATCTGTAGTTAGTTATGAGTTATATACTGTCAATGGTGTGAACTTGTGGCTGGATGCATGGAGGATTGTCCCTGAGTAATTAGACACACTGTTTCCCTCTCAACCATCTCCCACCAGCGGTTGGTGTCAGTTGGGTGTTCTGTTACCACTAGCAACAGAACCCTGACAAAGTTCCATAGCAGTTGGGGCCTAACTGCCATTAACAGCCACTGGTCAGATCTGAGGATACACATTGATTATTGATAGATATCTTATATCCAGCTTACTCCCTAAACTCCCTTGTTGTAGCCTTTATATGTAAGTGCTCTTTATTACAGTTGTTTTGTAGTTAATTGTTTGTTTGTTAATTCGGCTGCTAACCTTGCTAGCCACTACAGTAGCTGTCTGAGGCTAATGTGTTGCTAATGCTAATACAACATTCTAAGTAACTGTTAGTAGTAAGCTAGCTAGCTGAGCTGAGTTGAGCTAACGTTTATATATTTGACTCTCACTTGTACTCTTATATGTATATAAGTAATATATGTTATATATTAAATTAACTACTGAGTTACTTCCTGTGGAGACCTAATCTTTCACTCCTGCCATTGGGGACCATGTAAGTCATTTCACAACCAATCTATATTTTTCAGAATCCAGTTTTCTTATTACTACACTAATGCAGTTTTACAATACATTTTGGTCTTAACTCTTGTCCCATATCTCTGGTGATTTGCCTTTGTGGGGATTTCTGTGTAATAGTCTTGCCAAGACCTGTCCCTTTACGCAAGCGTTGGTATGCAATCCCCTTGTTTGGAGGTTTAATGGATTTGGGGCGAGTTGAAAGCAGGGTGAGGAAATCTCAGTTATGTAAATCCTAATTATGAAAAGAAACAAAAGCCCCATTAATTGTATGCTGGACCACAAAGTACTCTGGGGGACGGAGGACTTGAGGAACGAGTAGTCCTCCGGGTTTCTATTGGAGATAAAATACTTCACTGCTGTTGTGTGACTCAGGACAGGTTGAAACATCTCTGCCCACACAAACTATGTAGTGATCTCTCTCTCTCTTTTGCTACAGCAAACAACAAATGTAGCTTTTAGATGCGTGCACTCATGATGCCAGAGTTGGTGTTTTAGACATTAGGACACAGGCAATACTCAACAGGCTCCTGCATCAATGTTTTTTTTTTTACTAGTTAGTTTTCATGGAGGACACCTATGATCATACAGCGATGCCATCTGCAGCAGTATAAGATTCACAGCTTCAAAACAGCACATTGTTAAATGCCTCTGCTATACTAGATTTCAGTCAGCGTTGCCCATTAAGCTTCTTTCCCAGGAGCATCACATCACATGGAAAGTTAAAGAAAACAACAACACCTTTTTGAACTTTGTCAGGTTAGTAAAGTTCAGCCAATAACAGCTGAGAACCTGAACATTGTTTTATTTCTTCCTGTATGATTGAGAGTTCCCACAATATCTTCCAAACTGTTCAGATTTTGATTAAAAGGGTTATATTATGAGGATACAAATTATTGAAGTCTTTATGTTCTATATTAAGAGCAGGAAGACAATTTCAGGCACAGGAAATTGTTTAGAAATGAAGGAACATTTCTTTTGTGCTTTCCATTCACCTCTGTATTTTTTCCCCAGTTACCTCCTGTGTTGGACAGAATTTTCACATGCACAAAATAAGCACCTCAGTGTACATTTAATTTAACTTCTGGTCACTCTCAGCTGACCAATCTGCACTGCATATTTAGCAACAAAGAAAATAAATATAATTTAATTTTCTTACAAACTTACAAACCTAAAAAAAAAAAAGAAACTAAACAAAAAGAATAAATAAAACAGAAAATGTGATTCAGTCATAAAAAGTGTGGAACTGTTGTGTCCTACTGGCATAGAGACACAGCTGTGCAGACATGAAAACAGAAAGCACAGACTATTAAGAACAGTTTTCCAGTGTCCACTGATATTTCTCTGGTGACTTGACCGGTGCACGAACCAACTATTGACCAACTTACAAAAAACAACTTACACTTGCCATTAAGCTAATTATCATAAACTCCTGAGTTACTTATTGCTACAGTTTTCCATCCTATTACAACATTCCAACATTTCTGTTTACATAAGTCGTCCATAACAGCTACATTTCCAACTTCAAATCGACACACAAACAACGTCCAACGTCTGCATTTCTCTCCCAAACACCAAATGATCAAGTGGACACAGGGTCAACATTATATAAATACCGAACACTGCTGGAGGCAAACATAACACTTGTAGATTTAGAGTACTTTCTACTATCTGAATCTGATACATATTTATACAAATATCTACCCATACAATAAATCTTTACCATCGTAAAGTGGTAAATAACACCATAGTTATCACCATAGTTACAGTGTTTGTTTGTATTTGTTGTTGAACTTTGGAATGCATTCCTTCTTTATGTAACACTTCATTTTTTGATAAGGACGGAATAAAAGGAGCAGTGCCGACTAACAAAAGCATAGGTGCGTCACAATGACAGGAGATAAGAGGACTGCAGCATGTGTAACACGTACAGGGACTGGATGTTATTATAGCAAAGTGACCTCAAAGTTTCTCCTTTGTCAAACATGGACGAGTCCCAGGATGATGAATGATACGATCATTTTGCAGAACCCTGGGAATCTCTATGCTTGACACGACGTCTGTTCTCGTTGAGGTCCTCTTTGGTCTTTTGGATGCAGGTGAAGATCTCGTTGAAGAGAGCCTTGTACTCGGGCTGCTGGCCGTCGTCCAGAACGGACGTCAGATCAGACAGCGTAACGGAGCTGGACAGGCGGCGGCGGGTCCGGATGCTAGCGAAGGGAGTGCTGGGCGTCTGGACGGCTTTATGGCTGAGCTCGTCTGTCGCCTGCTGGCACCGCCGCAGCAGCTCCTCGTATTTCACCTAAACAAGGGGCACAGATTTTAGAGGAAGTGTGCCGTGACTTCTACATCATCAAGCTTGTAAAAGTTAACATGCTATGAATACACCACCTGCAGTGCGCTGTACTGTGCGTCCACCTCATTGAGCAGAGAGATGCCCCTCCGTTTCACTGCCTCCGCTCGCCTTATGCACAGCTGCTCGTGGCCGCGGCGAATCTCGTCTGGGTTCGTCGCTCTCAAAAAACTGTCGCTGAATCTCCTCTGCTGGCTGTATCTTCTCTGCTCCTCATCCTTTTCGACTTTCTCGTCCATCTCATCCTGCCCCGGGCTGGATCTTTCTTCCGAGGCAAAGAATACTGTATCGGGCAACAGCAGCTGGTCTGGTCTTTTCACACTGGTGGGGGGAGTGGAGGGGACAAGTATTTAGAGAAATTGTTAGAGGCCTGTGTTTGTCCTGTATCTTGAAAGTTGTATCCCCAAGTGTCAGACCCAAAAACTGAGCCAAAACAATTTCACAATTTGAATCCAGCCCAGGCCTACCTGTTGGCGCAGTCTGCGCGCCAAAGAAGCCGCAGCTGCTCCACTTCGGCCTCCAGCTCCCTCTGCCTGGCCCGGCAGCCGTCCAGCAGGGCCAGCCGCTGCTCCAGGCCTCTGTTCTCCCTGACTGTCAGCTCACTCTCCCGTTCTGCAGCCTCCCTGCGGCTCCGCTCCACTGCTATCTGGCTCTGAAGGGTCTGGACGGAGCGCTGGAGAGCTGTGTTTTCCTCCTCCGGGTCTTGGCATCGGTCTCTGTCATGGAAAGAGCCCTGAGGTGACCAGAATCCATCCACACACAGACTGTCGTGGCCTAGATGCCTGAGCCAGGTGAAGGAAATGTCAATAAATGTGTGAAAAATCCACTTCAGGATAAAAATTTTAAAAATCATATTGAGGTCACAGGACATCAATAATAGCATTTCAGTGTACAAAGTACTATATATTTTTCTCAGGACATTATTTCAAATCCTATTTTAGTCCTATAGTTTGATTCACTCACTATAACCTCTAGAAATGGTGTCCACAAAATACAAATGAGCAGTAGCGAGGGATTTGAGTAATTTGTTTTGCTCTGGGAGCTGTTTTCTAATATCTGGAGAACACTATTTATAAGCCAGGGCATCTCTTCATTACTACAGTACTGTAATGTTGTCACACATTTTACTACAACAAATTGCAGATTCTGTACTTGGCCATACTGCGATTTTGTTAATATTTCAATTAATTGTGCAGCTCTAATTTTGCCCCACTTTTCCTGCCAAAGGTCGTTGGGGCATTGTGCAGCCAAAAAAAACCCCAATTCCACTTCCTCCACATGTTTCTATCACTAAAGATCCCTGTTGGGTTAATGCATATATAATCCAGCAGTTTAAACAGCCTTTCAATGTTTTCAATTTGCAATATGTCAGAGCAAATGAAACATCATGAGCTCTGCAGATTCGTCTGGTTTCCAGGCAAATAGTTTAATAGACTATAATAATAATAATAATAATAATAATAATAATATGCTAATTTCTTTATTATTATTATTATTATTATTGCTTCTCTCCACTACTGAACCTAAACATATGCCCTCGGGTGTTGCCATGAAATACATAAAAAAGATCTGTATTATAAGTAACACATTTTCTGTTTATGTTAAAAATCAAGTCAGATTTTTGTGCTTAGGGCAACAATTGTTTTGTTGACTTACAAACAATAAATTACTCTTGTGTCTCCAAAGCACATCAAACAAGGGGCATGAACACGTAGCGAGCTAAAGCAACCGCAGCGTGTATGTATTAGTACACTGCTGACAATGGCGGAGGATTAACTTCCTCCTCCTTTGGATTATGTCTAAAGGAGGAGGTCTGGTCTGGTTCTGGGTGACCTGTAGTTGTCCAGTCAGCACACAAGGGGCTCAGACAGCATTGCACTTTGGGTAAGAGAAGATCAGACAACAGGCAAGGAGGTCCTACATGCTTTCAACTACCCCTCATTTATTTGGCCTCATGTTAAGATGCAGGAAAGACAAACCATCTGACCACATTAGCCTCAGTATAAAGGGGCAAATATGTCAGAATCTGTCTCAATATATCCAAGGTAACTCACTGTGACTCTATGTCACAATACTGTCTGGATCTACCAACCGAATGTGAGCAAAGATACACACACACGCACACACACACAATACCTCTCATGCTGTAAGTCATACAGCTCTTTGAGACAGGACACACTCTGTGCTCCGAGGCTGCGTCGCTGCTCTGCCAGATCTCTTTTGTTTCGCTCTGCCTGGGCAATCTTTAGCTCCTCCACCTGAGTCTGCAGCTCCTCCACATACGTCTGAAGTCCTTCAACGGCCTCCGTTAGACTGAAGGAAGAGAAAGAAGTCATTGATGCACTTATTCAAATACGCGATATACAGTGTGTTGAATATCACCTTTTTACATTTAGTCTAACTGCTTCTGTGAATAATGATGCAAAATATAATTTAAAAGGCAAATTCATTGATAACAAGCAGACAGACCTATGGATCTTCTGCTGAGCCAGGCGGTTGTCCTGCACCAGTCTCTGGTTGCCTTGCTCCAGATCCCTGGCGGCCACGTCTAGCTGCTCGTACACTTTGGCATGCTGGTCGTTCATCTGACGCAGCAGGTCCACCTGCTTGGTCAGGTACTGGTGAACAAGAGAGAGAAATGACAAAGATTTAGCTTAATTTGTGGTTGGGTTTAGGTTTGTTTGTATTTTCAAAAATTGTGTAGAGATGAAATAATTGTTGGATGTCTTCTCCAATGTAAGGATTGGCTACCTCTTACTGTTTTATACAATTGTAAAGTGAATATTTTTGGTATTTTTCTGACAAAAGACATTTAAAGACATTATCTATATATAAAAAGTGTTGGACTTTTATTTTAACTTTATATCCCAGTACATTTTATTACCAAACATTTTCCTTAGAAGCAAAGAGCTGCCAACTAAATGACTTTCTCTGGCAGAATCAGTGCAAACATTTGTCTACTGCAGCAGCACAGCCATGCATCATGCAGTGGGTAAGACCAGTGGCGGACACTGCATTAGGATGAGGGTCAGCGAGGTGTATGTGGATTACCATATCAACCTCGATAATTCCTCAAGGCACCCGCCCTCTCAATGCTGTAAGCATATTAAGACTCTTATCTTTGTTGACCTGCTGCATGCCATGTCTGCAAACTCAAATAGATCAGCACTGTGCGCATATGCCAAAATGAAATGTCGGGGCGCTGAAATAAGACTTAATTGCGATTATTTCTAAGCTTTTCCTGAAAAGTAAAAAAAAGTAAACCAAAAACTATGCTTTGCTGTGTTAGCATAGAGATCTTGGTAGTCTCGTACTGATTTAGGGAATATGTGAATGACAAGTGAAAATGTTGTAGATTAAGAGCGAAAACCCCAAACCCTTAATCAAGATCCTGGTAACTTGAGCAATGTCCGAGCAAGTGGTGGACGGTGGTAAATAAGCTGGTGAAAGTTTGCCTATAATTAGGTAGAAGAAAATCCTGCCAACAGGACGCACCATGCCAAAGGCTCACTAGGTTGGGACTGGTCAGGATTAGCTTTTACTCCATCCTGTTTAAAGCTGACAGGAATTCACAATGACACTTCCCTTCCAGACAAAGAGCTTTTCAGATCCCCCAATCTCGACTTTTCTCAATGAATCAGCTCCCACTGCGCTCTCCTTCATATAAAACCACTACATTTATGCAGCAACAATATGCATCGACTGACTGGATTGTGGACGGCGAAGGGTATAAACACATGTTTTGCACGGTGAAAGGGATACGTCTCGCTCACACACTGTCCACAGAGAGGGCTTAGTGCTGCTGGAGCCTCGAGAACTCTGATTAGTTCCTTCCCTAACATTTATCACCTCTATCTCCTGCAGCTGCTCCTGGTTGGTGGAGTACATCTGCTGCAGGGCCTGCTCCAGCTCATGGTTCCTGTCGAGGAGGCTTTTCCCCAGCTCCGCTGCCAAATGGAGATCTGTCAAGGCACAGGAAAACATGTAAACATAAGATACAGGGCAGTTTCAATGCCCAAACACAGGCAATGGATAAAACTAGATGTGTGTAGTGGGTACACACACACAAACCTCGTTGTCTCACGCTATTACTTATCTGGCACTGGTGAATCACGGAGGAATCTGAAACATGCCTTGGGATCTCCTTGTGACCCTTTCCCCCCCTCTACTAAATTCTTGTGAATTCTGAATCTTGTCCAGCGACAGTGTTGACTACCCCGCTGAGGTGAAGTGAATCTTATGTGGGAAGTACTCTAGGTACAGACAATAACAATGCAAGGAAACCAAACATGTTTCACGCAACAAGCAGTGTGTGCCCTGTGATTTTAACTCAAACTTGCAATCAAATAGTCTTAAGCTCTACTCTGACGTCCTTAGAGTTGGTGGCGGAGAGGAGGATGCTGAACAAACATTTATCCAACACGGAAGAATGACTGAAATCTGGTCCGTAAATCTACAAACAGCAGAACATTTCCAGTTTTATTCAGCTCCACTGTGGAATGCTACAGGAAGTCTTTCCTGTCTGCTGCCATCACTCTGCATAAGGAGCCGCCTCTGTATCGGGACTCTGGCTCCTACGATTTCTTTCCTACAACCAGGACTTGGTCTTGTACATCCATCAGCTTAATCATTATAGTAACTCATTACTCTTTTGGTTATTGATTTACTTGCTAATTATTTTCTTTGATTGATGTATCATTTTTGTAAACACAGCAATAGTAAATAGTGCCCAGCGATGATGTTTTAAAATTCCTCATTTTATTCGCCCCACAAGCCAAAACCCAAACATACTACATTTATTTTAATATATGCCAAACGTAGGCATCCTCACACTTAAGAAGCTAGCACCAGCAAACAATTAATTGTTTATCAATCAATAGTTGATTATTATATTAATCAACTAAATCTTTCCATGACTCTCTGCTGTTCTTTCACACTTTTCAGACCTTCTAGCCATATTTATTACCACTACATTATCTCACCCCTGCACTGTAAAACACCACTATATTTGATATATATATATATAGTAATGTTTATTCAATTTACAAATGCTTCTATTTTAATATGCAGTACACAAGCACAATCCAGGACCTTGTGCAGTATACTACAGGGAACTACAACTGTAAAGTGTATATTCAATACATAGAGGTTCTAGTTTTACTTCTTCTCAGGTTTATATTTTATCCTGTCCTTATTATTTATTCCTTATTCCCTTGTTTTGTCCCTTATGTTCTGTAACTGCAATGTATCTTGTGCTTTAATAAAACACTCCATCTATAAATCTGTCTCCTTATCTCAAAGCAGCACCAACAGCAAGTACATGAGAAAACAATCAAACACAGGACCTGTGACAGCCTCAGGAAACCATTTTTACCCCATGACTCCCGTGATTCTGTCTCCCAAGAGTGATCTATAGTCTTCAATTTTATTTCATGTGTGAGCCCTTCTGTTAAAGCTTGTGTCATGTCGTTAGTGCAGTGGACTATTTTCTATTATATCTTATAATATTCTTATTTTGTGATGTACTTTTTGCACTACATCTCCCTATGCTGCTGTGTTTGACTATAATTTCTCCTACGGGGGATCAATAAAGGAACATATTATCTTATCCTATCTATTTCAAGAAACTCCCCATATGATCACCAGCTGACGAGCAACCAAAACTCTTACAACAACAAAAAAAAGTACCTCCTCAGACATTATTCTGTCTGTCTGTCTGTCTGTCTGTCTGTGGAGTAATAACATGTGAGCCCACACGGTCAGACAGGGTTTAGGGTGCGACCACAGAGCTCTTACCGTGTTCCAGGTCCTGCGGGTCGTACCAAGGCTCTCCATTCTTCTCAAACTCTTCCTCCAAAATCACGTCAGTTAACATTTTTAACACTCTCGCGGTGCGCGCGAGGACTCCACCTGCCAGAAACCTGACACACAGGTGTGTGTGTGTGTGTGTGTGTGTGTGTGTGTGTGTGTTAGTTCAGCAGCTTGAAGTTGTCCGCCTGTTCACCGCCGTGTGTGGAGAAATGTCAACTGCATCCTCCCGGTGTTGTGTGAGGCGTTAAGTACGTTGTCTACGGCAACGTGGCAAATGTCTAATACCCCCCGACATCCGGTAGGTGGCAGATAAAGCGACAACTAACGTTCAAAGAAAATACTAATAAATAATTTTACTTTTAAATCACTTTAACTGAATATTCAACCTAACTTTTAGTACTACTCACAGGTTAAAGTCTACAGGAAAGACAACCAGTTAAATAGTTTTTTAAAAAAAAATTTTTTTTAATTGTCATAACGTCCTGCTTCTGTTGACAGACGTTCTTATCGACCAATCACGAAGCAGCAAGTGGAGCCAAAAGAACTCTTCTAGCCAATCAGATGTTTGTTTGTTATATTGAAGCCCCGCCCCACCCGGAAGGCACAAAAATCGAGTTTGACAAGACTGCAGTTTCTGAATGTGATACATCTTCAGTAAACAGTCTTCACGGGAAGAAACACCGTGACATGTGGACAGCATGAAAATAAGACAGTTGGAACAAGAACCAGCTCTGCACACAACGTTTTTTTGCCGTGAAATATTGACCAGTGTCACTATTGTTGCTATATAACACTAAGTAGTTATTGCAAGCGACATCGTTTCCTATCCCCAGCTGGTTAGGCCGACAGGGAACTTCGTCTTTGGGTTGCTTGAGCAGCCATGGCCGCCGTGGAGAAACCTGCTTCAGGAAGACTAAATGTTGGCCGACACCTGATTAACTTTGGTGTCAATCCTGCAGCTGTGGCTTATGCCATGACTACTCTTGGATCTGGCATGATAAACAATATATTCAGCTTCTACTATGTGAAGCTCTTTATCAATAAATACAAGGTATCAGAGGGAGCATTCCACCAATCACAGGTGAGTGTTTATTATCTTACACATTGCTGTTCTTTGTATGCAAATATATGTAAATAACAACCAAAGGTGTAGTCAAGAATAAACGTGACATTTTTAGGTGATTCATTATGGATTAAGCTGTTTACTATTTGGACTATAGATTAATTTAGTCAGTAAAATATCTGTCAATAGTGAAACATTTCAACTGTCAATAATTATAGTCATCTGAATCGGAGAAAAGCAGAAAAATCCTCCCATTTGAGAATCTGGAACAAGCATATATTTGGGATTTTTGCATGGTTGATCCATTAAACACTAAATTAGATATCAAAGTAGACCTTTAACATAATGTTTATATAACTCCTGTTTCCACAGGTGGTGTACATGGTGTGGAATGCAGTCAATGACCCTCTCTTTGGCTACCTGCAAGATAATTCGAGGGTGCCGTGCTGCTCTCAGCGACGTCTCTCCATCCTGTATGGTGCTCCCCTCTATTCGCTGACTTTTCTTCTGGCCTGGTTCCCATGGCGGTCATATACCCCCGGTGACTGGTTGAGCGGCTTACACTTGACAGTGGCACTGTGCGCCTTTGACGGCATGCTGACTTTTGTGCTGCTGGCACAGTGTGCGTTGTTTGCAGAAATTTCCAGCCACCATCAGAGCCGACTAAGACTTATAAAGTACAACCAGGTAAAGACACCATTTGGATACCGAATACAGCCTCCATCTTTTTTCTACATGCCCCTAACCCAACAGGTCCATCCTTCTCATATCTCCTCCCTTTTACTTCCCAGGTTGCTTCTCTTGTTGGCTCCTCCAGCATCCTCTTCTGTGGCGTGCTGTCAAGAAACATGGAGGACTTTGCAGCCTTCCAAGCCTTCGCAGTGTTTGTTGCTGTGGTCAGCTGTGGCTGCATGCTCTACACGGGCTTCCACAGTGAGAGCCGCTTTGATAAGAAAGGATCTGAATCAGATGCACTGTCCTCCGTTGACCAGACTTCCCATCAATCAGCAGTTTCCATCTCCATGTTAAGAACTTTGATGTGGCAAATCCTGACCAACAGGGACTTCCAGCTTTTTGTGCTCATGAACTTCTTCCAGGTTTTCATGTTGGCTTTCTTTAATAATTTCACCATGATATTTGCTGAGCACCTAATTCCTCCAGATGTGCTTCCATCAATGGCCAAGAGCATCATGTACGGAGCGGGATTCATCTGTCCACAGGTATTGTAAATAATAGAATAAAATAGATAGATGGAAACCTATCATGAACCTTATCCTCTCTTTCAGGAAGTCGTTGTTTTTGTCAGTACAGGTTGAGCTCCAGCCTGACGCAGCTCATGAATACAGTGCTTTTTGGCCGACCACTCTTGAACTTACTCAGATGTCAGAGCTCCATACAAGCGCCTGAATGCACCAACAGGGAAACACTTGATGTACTACTTTATCGTCCCGTATTTTGTATTTATGTGTTCCCCTTGTCTCCATCCCAGCTGTTGGTATTGAGCAGTCAGAGACTCCTTCATGATCTTGGCTACTACAGGATCATCCTCTTCACCTTCTACATGGAGGCTGGAATGGCGGCTGTCATGCTAGCACTCGGCTCTCAGCACTACTATATCCTAGCGTGTTTCCTCACTGTTAACATGTAAGAGGTTAAACGACTTCTAACATTCTTACTAATGTAACCACATAATGACTCCCCCTCCGTCTTCTGTGCAGGGTCATAATCCAAGCAGCCTTCAGCCTTTTTGGTTTGCCCTTGGCTGACATCATTGACACAGACCTGCAGAAGTACAAGCGCAGGTAAAAGATATTATTATTAACACACTTCCACTATGACTCATTACTTGCATACAAATATACTGCGCTTCATCTGTTGTGTTTGCACCGTGCAGCATTGTGTTTTAACAATTCAACAAGGGACAATTAGGCAAAAGCATTTTTTTTAACCAGTCCATACAACCAAACATGTATCTATTGAAGCCAACCTTCACGTATCAAACACATTTGTGTTGTTTTACTGGTGATATAATTTTTTTTGATCATGTTTTTTTTTGTTACAGTTCCCCTCTCTCCTCCATGGTGTTTGGGACGAATGCTCTGTTCACTAAGCCGGCTCAGTCTCTGGCCCCTATGATAGTGCTGAATATCCTCAACCAGTTTGGATATGAACAGCTGAAGGAAGCAGGGAGGGATTCAAATCCAAGGTATAGAGAGTTTTTTTGCTTCTTCTTGAGTTAAAGTCTCGGCCAGACAAAATAAGTCTAACTAAACTTTGCTTTGCAGTGAAAAACAAGGCATTCCTCTTAAAATAGTTATAATACCCTGCTGAAAACTCATTTTTCTAATCTATAATTCAGTACGAACTAATGTTTGTTTGCTCCTCCAGACTTCCACCACACTCTGAGGGAAAATGTTAATATTATAAGAGGTCCAGCCAGTGATGGTGACCCTTGAATACGCATGTTTTATAAATGTTGTATTCTTTATATTACTAACAACCATTTCCCAAAGTGTTCAGTGTAGTATGAAATTAAACTTTTGGACCTGTCACAATAACTGCTTTTGTTGGATGATATATTGTCCCAGAAATAATTGCAACAATATTATTGTCATTTTAAGAGCCACTGATATAAAGATAGTATAATAGCATAATAGTGCAATGTATGGGGTCATATTTGAGCTTGACTACATATCTGTTGTGGAAGAGTAAAAGGAGAGATATTTCTTTCAGGATTTCATCCTTCACTTTGTTGTAAAAGGCTAGAATAGCAAATTTGGGATATGTATGTTTTCTTTGGTAATTCCTAAAGAGGACAGAAGCAGAAATGACATGGCTTGGCTGGGAAATAACACTTAGATGATGCAACCAAGTCTCATAATGGTAGGGAAAGTCCTGCTGTTTATTCTGGCATCATGTTTGTTAAAATGTTAATGAAATTCACATGCATGATCATCATGTAACATGCAGGTCAGAGAATGATTAATATCACGACCATATTTTGCACCATAAGATATAAGTTGATAACATAACATAAGACCTAGTGAACTGAAACATACTCAAGATAGATAATCCATCAGTGAACAGTTCCCTGTCCATGATTTCATTACAATGCAGCAATAACATGACTCTGACAAATGAACTGTTGGATGGACTGAAGGCAACTTTTAAAGGATAGGTTCACAGTTTGTATAATATAATAGTCAGGTGGCCATATGTCCAACAGGCCAGGTGTTGCTTGCTACAATCATTCCTCCTGTTCACACTGGCCTTTAAGGGATCCTTTCCTGGTGCGCTTCCAATGTAACTGATGGGGAACAAAATCCACAGTCCTCACTGTGTACAAAAATACAGGCCACTGTTTATCTGAAGTTAATATGAAGCTTCAGCTGTGTTAGTTAAATCAAGTGGCTATTTTCCAGTCTGTTACTATTCCTCCACCAGCACTCAACAAAACAGAAACGGTTTTATGCTACAAACTTTGACATCTGTAAAAGTAGCTTATTCTATGAACAGTAGTAATGCAAAGTATATATAATTTAGCTGAATTTGCAGAACCACCAGTGTAATGATAATTAATCTTAATGCTTTAAAATGGCTTCAGGTCATAACTGCCTAAATCCCTATGATAAGCGTTTGGAATGAAGTAGAACTAGGATAATGCCAAAGTAACCACTGCAAAGTTTAATGTTCACACAGAAATCCACCTCACACACCACTTTAAAGCTCAGAAACTTTGAAATAAGTTTCCTGTTTCCCATCAAGATTATCTTCAAGTGAATAAATCAATATAGTCAGTATAACGTCCTTAATTCAGAGCCAGTTAAATATTTGCTTTGGAGTCAGATATGTCTGTTGAGTACTGGCTGAAAACTATTAAACAGGAGGCATGTGTAGGCTTGTGGTTGTGACTCAGGTGGGTCGTCTGGTAAGTGGAGGGTCGCTGGTTCGGTTCCCAGCTCCCCCAGTCCTTTGTCAAGATACTGAACCCCAAATTGTACCTGATGAATGCAGTGTTGCACGCTGTAGAAAAATTTCAGTCCATTTACCTTTTTTTTTTTATTAGAAACAGTCTAGTCAGTTTTAGAGTTCCACTGTTTTCTTTTCCAAACACGCAAACAGTTTGTTACATTTAAAGTTTCAAATGATTGTGATAACGGTGTCATAATAAAATCCCTATTTGTTTCCAGTGCCCTGGAGAGCCTGCACAGCGTCATGTTCTACTTGGTGTGTCTAGTGCCCATGTGCGTTGCTGCTCTGCAAGCCCTGGCTTGGAGGCCGTTTTCCATTCGCAGCAGTCACACCGTTGACACAAAGTACATTGACGGCTAACTTTCATATTTCCAGCTGGGAAATTCTTTATTGCTGTTGGAAGTAATGTGTAAATGACTCCATGGGTATACGGATAAATATATACTGTAAATGCATTGTTAACAACTGTAAATTATCTTTGTGTGCTGACTGGTGACACAGAGTAGATAAAAATAATCACTTTTCTAGATCCCTACAAATACTTTATCTTAAGGCCATAAGGCAGTCCTTTTCAAACATATTAAGGGGATAACTGGACCAAACATAGCAGGGATCATAATACTTTGTTAAATGTCAGACACATTGACCTCAGCAGGTAATTAGCAGGAACATACTGTATGATGGCTGTGCTTTGTGAAAAAGGGACTAATTCCTCAAAAGTGTGTGAAAAATACAAATTTGTACTTAATAGAGGAACTGTAGCTGTCTTAACCTTAAAACTGAATGTTTGAAAGTTGATACAGAAATAATTGAGCAGCATCCTGAAACAGAAAGGATACATACTGCCAGTGGAGATTAGCTGACATCCAATTAAAAAAAATATTATGTCTGTACGGTGTGCAGCTTGAGCAGCTAAAGGTCAGAGCTCTTGAACCAAGACAGGTTGGGGACAGGAAGCTAGAAGATGAAATTAAATGACTACTTACTGTCGACTGACTACCTAATATGTAGGAGCACATAATGCCTCGTCATATGGGCGAAGGGAGATTGGTACACAACTGTAAAGAATATTAATTAATGTGGGTTTTTCAATCAAGGACATTGCAGGGTTGTTTTTGGTCGTTTGGTTAAGGGGCATTATTCTATTGTGACAGACACAAAAAAGACATCACAGCTAAAATCTGTAATGTTTTTTAGTCAACATATCATTCTGTTATACCCATCTGTAGCGGAGAAAGACTAAGAGCGATTAATTTACCCTGCTAACGCTCTATATTTTGCCCAAATGCACACGCTAGCAGCATCACAAGTCCTATCAGTATATCAGTCTCAAGCAGATATGGTGAAACAGGTCTCAGTTTAGTTGAGCGGCACCTGGTTCAAAACTAATTTAAATAAATAATTTTACTCACTTTCATTTTCTCTGGAGAAACAAGGGTAAAATTTTTGATTTTATTTGATTTTATTATTATAAAGTTTTTCAGAAATGTGTCTTTTAAACACAAGACGTACACAAAACATTCAACCAAACAACAAAGAAAAATGCTGCCAAACATATAATTACAGCAGACATTATGAATAAGTGGCTGCAGTGCAGTAAATATCATCATATTTGCTGTAAACGTGGACAAAATTACAATACTAGCTTTAACTCCAGCCATGCTCCAGATTGCAGTAATTCAACTTGATGCTCTGACACTTATTTACATCTGTGCAGCCAATGAAATACAGAGCTGTATTTCACTGCAAATATAACCAGTACTTGAGTAACATTAGATCATATTGGGTCATATCACAACTTTTAATACGTTAAAAAAAATGCACATAGACATATTAACATCACGTCATTGTACAGAATGTGACACAGCAAGATGCCTCAAACATATCAGGTTGTTAAATGCCTTAATGATGATTTACAACACCAAAAGTGAAACCTATTCTTTCTTAGTTTAACATTGTCTACCATACACTGTACTGTATAACAACTAAAGTCGTCTGTAATGTGCCTTTTTGTCTTTACATTGTTTGTAATGATCAACTTATTGCATCTGAATGTGAAATGTTTCTCTGGTTTTTGATCAGAAATGTACAGAACTATACCCAGAATGACATGTTTACATGTTTGTTTGTGATTTCCTTATATGTCTTCAAAGTGTTGGTCAATAATTAGATAATGCATTTCTTTACTTACTGTATTTGCACTGTTGTAAATGTAAATTACGTGCTACTTTTTACTCTCCGTTCCTGGAAGTAAAATTCACTCTATTTTTCTATAGAATGGCTCATTAGCCTAAAATATATGGAAGAAATTAAATTGATGAATTAAAATTATGTGACCACATCTCTGGATTGTATTGGATTTTCTTTCCTCTTTTGTTTTTCAGGTAAACACGGCCGTGGTTTTGAAAAGAATGAACTGTTGCTCCAACATTGATTGATTTCAAAAGAGGGCTGTGAGTATCACTGCCGAAACTGAAAAACTCAAGAAAAATGGAAGTGTGACTCAGCACCTTTTGTTGTGGTTGTTATGTCTCACTTTATGAGAAAAGGTGAGAAAGCACAAAGCTGCCCTGTAGCCTGTGTTGAGTTGTACATTTCCTCAGTCATCCTTCAGGCTTTTTGCTCTCAGTGGTGATGATCTGTCATTTAATATCCTTGAACGACACTTAGACGTTTTGATAGATGTCATCATTTGAGTTGTTGGCGTCCGTGCTCGCCGCCTGCAATGATATTACATTTCATATAAAAAACGATGATCACTAAATAGCAAATTTTCATATTGGTTGGAAACTTCCTACGTGCTGTAACACAAACTGTGGAGAAGTTTCACGCTTTCTCAATCTGTCTGACTACATCTAACCATAACATGCTGCAATAAGATTTACCTCAGCTTGGGAACGGTTTCTGCTCACAAGTCGTTTACTTCTCTGCAAGTTCCTTTTGCTGTACAATTCTTGCAGCACATCACGAAATTGTGTCGTTTTGGTTGAGTTACTCTGTGTGGACAGTGAAGAAGAATTTTATCATACAAAGATATTTGGATTACTTATTTTGTATTCTATTTACAAGAAAAGCCAAGTGGTGTGTTGTGTTGAAAGAGTATTTTTATGGCCAGAGGCATCAATTCCTGTTCCTCTTTTTGCTTCTGCTGTTCTTTCCCCCATTTAGTAAACACACAAAACAGAAATTAAAACAGAAAATTAGACTCTACAAACCCTGTCAGTTTTGGTCGTCCTTCTGAAGCCATACTAGAACAGAGAGGAAGAGGCAGATTTCACACACAGTACATTTTACATTTTAATAAACTCTGACAGGTCTTAACAATACATAACATTTAAAATAAATCTCTCTATGAATTTACCTTCTTTACAATAAGTGTCACTACTGCCAAGCTGTAGATGATCAAGAGGACAAAAAACACCCACAGTAGAATGTGCCTCACCATTATTCTAACTTTTTCTGAAAACAAAAGAAAAGCTGTTTGTCCAAATTCATCTTAACCAACACATCCAAACATCTGTGTCTTGACCTTTAAAAAGCAGTTTTCTCTCTTACCCTTCACTACCAGAGTTGTACCCAACCCTACGTGCTGTCCGCCCCGTGCTGGTTGTCCATGCAGTACTGCAGCACAGTGGTAGATCCCGCTGTCATCAGCAACAAGTGACTTGATGTGTAAAGATGCTCCATCCAGACTGTACTTGCCATGCAGCTTTAGACGAAGATAGGAGTCGTCTTTGAAAATAAACCACTCATAATGCCAGCCTTTGCCTGAACAATGCGGCGTGACGGTACAAGGAAGGACCACACTTTGTCCCATTTTCATCCAGATATCCTCGTTCGGCTGTGATAAGCAGCTATTAGTCATTTCCGTGTTCGCTGGAATGATAGACATAGATTTATGATCTTAAATGTTTCAGAGAAATCACTGAGCTGTTGTTGAACAGAAGCTGCGGGACTTCATTCTTGAACAGTGAATTCCCTTAAAGTATTATTCCCTAAATGCCAAGACAGACATTACAAAGACATCTTACCTGTTACTGGCAGGTAGGTAAGCAGGAGAGAAAACCAAATCAACCGGTGCATGTCTGTGGCTTGACAGCTTGTGAATGATCTCATTATTCCTTGCATGAGGCTGTCTAAATGTCTCACATGGGAAGTATTGCACTTCCTCAACACTTACTTCCTTCTTATTTTCCTGTTTTCTGCAGTTGAATGGGTAACAGTCTGGATTCCCATAAGCATGAGGCATTTCAGTGTGTCTGTGACATGATAATGATGACATTCACAGCAAATAGATTTAACACTTCATATTGAACTATTACAGATAAAGGTAGGGTCAGAGTGAGATTTTGTGATATCAGCCTGTTATTGCCTAACGTGATCAGCATTTATGAACATGTAGGAACAAGTATATTATCAACTCGTTGAGGGAGCAATCTAGAAAAGGAGGGGAATGTCTGATGTGTGGTTTGAAAAACTCCGAAAACAATACGCAAGTAATGGTGATGTGGCTGTTCACTAAAAAGGAAATAGGTCATAATGGACAGAGTGTAAGCAAACATATTTGTAGGGTAAAAGAAAAGCAAAATATCTCATTTCTGTTTTGAGGAATCTGAGTGAGACAAAATGTTAAGAGATGTTCAATGAGATGTGGTTTTGAATATATTTTTCTGCTAGGGGACAAAAGCAGGAAATGCATTGTAGGGCTCTGATAACATCCACTGTGACCAAAGAAGAGCAACCAGACAGGGTTTACAACACAGAGCATTAAGAGGTGTAACAGAACACTGATATACTTTATCTAGACTTGCACTAGAGAATATATTGCTGATATCCTATTTTTCAGTGTCCTTTTGTTGTTTGTTTGGTGATGGATGTGACTTGGCTGCTGTTACTGGGTGCTGAGCAGAGCAGTGGCTCAGGCTATCTGAGGGGCAGAGCCAAAAAAATAAAATAAAAAGGGTACCAGTGCGCCTTGCGTGGCGATTTCTCCATTTTAAAGGCAACCTAGAGGGCGCTGCATCATGTTTTATCTGCCACAGGGGCATCCAAGAGAGCACTTTTGAAGCATTTTTTTCCTCCAGTGCTGGAGAGTATCTGAGTACATTTACTGTTAGTAGCCTACATCAATGTATTAAGAGGTCATTACAAATATACTCTTAATTGTAGTGCATGTACTTAAAGGCCCCAACCCACACAGGTTTTCACTTATTGCCTGTGGATTGTGTGAGCATTTGTTTGATTACATGATCCCTTTATTAGTTTTATTGCTCTTGTGGTCGTACTCAATTTTACGGTACACTAATAAAATGTAACAAGCCATACGCTGACAAAAACTAGAAGTGATGTTCCTTATTAGACAGTAAACAAACACAGTTATACCCTAATAAGACACCATACCACTAATTTGACCTCATATAACCCCAGCTAGAATCAGTCAGAGTAAGTGAAAGTGTTGAAATATTGTACTTTTTACTGGAATATTGTTCTTTTTATTGCATCAAATGTACTGTATTTGACATTTCTAGTTATTTTAGAGATTAACATATCAGATTAAACCACCCCATGGTATCAAGCTGCTAAAGTAAGCCACATTAAATAGCTGCATGCATGTTATAACGATCAATCTATCTATTTATCTAGTGCTGATATCAAGAATATGGTTCAATGCTGCTGAAGTGCTGGTCCCACCCAATCTAATGTCCCTCCTCTCTCACACAGGGCTCAAGTTTGTTCCGTTCAGCTCTCTGTAGGCGGATCTATCCGGTGCTGTCGGTCACATTTCTGGTCCAATCCAAACCCCCCCTGTGTGTTTTCTCACGCCCCCTTCCACGTCGACCTGCACTCTCGCCATATTTTCAACCGTGTGCATCCCGCCGCCCCGGTTTGCCACCAAGCTCAGCAGGAGAGACACATCCACTAACGGGACAGCATCTACACTCACAGGAAGAAAGGGACCTCCACGTTAGCCTGCCATCTCTCTCTCTCTCTCTCTCTGTGTGTGTGAGAGTGTGTATGTGTGTGTGTTCACTCACTCTGCGACAATGAACGTCTTCAGACTGACAGGGGACCTCTCTCATCTGGCTGCTATCATCATCCTGCTGCTCAAAATATGGAAAAGCAGGTCCTGTGCAGGTGAGCCGGAGCTGTAAATTGTGTCTCACCTGCTACAAGTTGTTACTAAGGTTACGGATTAACTTTTAGTTCGGCGCTGCACCCTGCAAGCTCCAGGCTAGCCTACGTTAGCTACATGCTAAGCTCCCCCCTCCACTCATTCATTTGAGGCAGTGGCTAAGTAGCGTTAGCAGTCAATGCTACTGCTGATAACAACCCGAACCTGCATGTCTACGTCCTTTTTCTTTATTTCACTACTAAACTATTTACTAGAAAATGTCTCAACACCGAAGTCGTTGTCAACAATGCGTTGCAGTCCGTTGACTGAGCAGCCTGGTGTTTACTGGACGAGTGGAGCAGATTAATACTAACGTTTTTCATTACATGTATTAGTGGGGGGGTGATTATTTGCCACAGTTTTGCCCATCCGCCCCCTCCTGCTCGGTGAACGTGAGAGTTTGGTGCTCCATTTTTTTGGTCTGGTTTCTGACGTGGCGTTCTAGAAGGCGCTACGGAAGTAGCTAACTAAAGGAGCTAATATGTCCGTGTCACTTGTATGTTTTTTTTTTTATTTTTATTGCTCTTATAAACATGTGTTATGTATTAATAGTGAACCACACGGGTTGCTTTCTCACAGCAGAAGGGCACACAGGTTTATCCTACTCAGGTTATGAGGAGAAGTCCTGTGATTGGCTCACAGTGCTGGAGGTTTGGCTTTAGATTGGATTAATTAGGGTTTATATTAGGTGACAGCTAAGATATGGTAATGTTTATGTGTAATTTGGGTTAACATGGTTAGATATTATGTAGTTACATCTGTATCTTAAGTTTAAAATCATACATTTTCACACTCTCTACTCTTAAACTCTCGATTTGGATAAGGGAAAAGCCTTTTATACTTTGTGCAGGAGAGACATGTATGCAATAGATGTTGTATATATTATATAGTATAGTATTATAAGTGTAGTAGTTACACAACGGAGTAACAGAAGGACAATGTTAGGTAAATACAGTTCATACATATCAGAATCAGAAATACTTTGTTGGTCCCCGGGAGGAAATTTGTTTGCTACAGTTGTTCCACTCACACAACATTAAAGAATAGTACTTATATACAATATCTAACACAATATATAGAAATATAATAAGAGCCTAAGAGATATAATAAGATAATAAGAGTCTATATACCAAGTAAATGTAAATCTAAACATAAGTGTAAACATTTTCCACCGTATTGCTGACAGAAATTAAATAAATGGTAATGAGTTTTATATATATAATAATAATAATAATAATATATGAATAATATGGATCAGGGATGATACCGAGCAGCAGCAAAGTGCTTCTAACCAAAACCTTCCCTGTTCCTTGAAAACCTGGACGGAGGACAAACTATTTATACACTTCAGAGTCAAAGCTCAAGCATACCGCTCACACTCAGGGAAGAGGAAAAGAAGACACAGAGATGCTAAGAGAGGATGAGGCAGTTATTACAGACAACATGTAATGTGAGGACAGGTGTAAGCAAAGATGCAAAAAAAAACAGTAGCTCAACCTCCTCGAGGACCAGGACACACTTATCTTCTGCTACGGGCAATTGAGAGTTTCCAGTTAACGTAACCTACATGTCTTTAAACTCTGAGGACACAGAAAAGCCAGCAGGTTCAAACCAAGAACCCTTTTTGCTAAACCGTCATTGCTACCCAGTGTGGATCTGTGTGCCTCTTTAAACACATTAAACTTATTTACAACGGAAAATTGTAATGTTTTGTGGCATGGTTATGGTCACGGAAAGATGTGGGATGGGATCTGCCTTTGATCTAAAATAATGTAAGAAGCTCTGTTTGGCTGTAATCAGGTCAGAAATTCACAAAGACCCAGAAAGAAACTGGTACACACGAGATGATAAATATTCATGTTTCCAGTAGATGTCACTGTTCAATAAGGAAAAACCTTATGATTCATGTTGTATCCAGACTACTTGTGAAGTTGCTGATGGCATATCTGAACCTTAATGATAAATCTGCTTGATGTTTTCCCTTAAAGGTATCTCTGGAAAAAGCCAAATCCTGTTTGCCATAGTGTTCACCACACGCTACCTGGATCTGCTCTCCTCCTTCATCTCCTTCTATAACACATGCATGAAGGTAAGACACCAGCCGCTCTCAGCTCTGACCAATAGCTCCTATATTTCTCCTCCGTGCCTTCAATGACGAGCTGTTCTGTGGTGTTTACCAGGTGATCTACATCGGTTGTGCGTATGCCACAGTCTACCTGATCTACGCCAAGTTCAGGGCCACCTACGACGGCAACCATGACAGTTTCAGAGTGGAGTTCCTGGTTGTTCCTGTTGGTGGTCTCGCTGTTCTCATCAACCACGACTTCTCTTTCCTAGAGGTGGGCTCAACCTCCCGTGTTGTTATCAAAGCGTGACATAATTCATCGTGTTCCTGCACATTTAATCACAAATGTATCTGTCATTAGATCCTGTGGACGTTCTCCATCTACCTGGAGTCGGTGGCAATCCTGCCTCAACTCTTCATGATCAGCAAGACTGGCGAGGCGGAGACGATCACCACCCACTACCTGTTCTGCCTGGGCCTGTATCGGGCCCTCTATCTCTTCAACTGGATCTGGCGTTTCTACTTTGAAGGCTTCTTTGACATGATCGCCATTGTGGCCGGTGTGGTCCAGACTGTCCTCTACTGTGACTTCTTCTACCTTTATGTCACCAAAGGTGGGTTTCCTACTGGTATCATCCATTATGGCGAGCACCAAATTAGACAGATAAAACTAAGGAAATAAGAGATTATCAGGCAATAACTGGGGAACAAATTGATTTATATAGTGTTACTTTAATTTTTCACTGACTAAGGACACTTTATACACATAACATAAGATTTAAAATTACCCATAGTTTTGTCTTATTCAGCTACAAAAACTTGGTCTGTCTTAATATATGAGTTATTGGCTGATGTAATCATTCCTCCTGTCCAAACCACCCCTGAAGCGATCTCTTCCTCGAATAACATCAATGTACATGATTGGAGACAAAACCCACCATCCTTAAAACCTCATTCTAATTCAACTGAAGCTAATATTAGCCTTTAGCTATCTGAATTTTATGAATCAAGTGGTTAATTTCAAATCGTTCTAGTGCAAAATTCCCTATTTGTATTACTGTCCCTCCACAGTAGCCCAGCAAAGAAACACTGTTCCAGGAAACACACAAAGGGAATTTTGTGCTAAGAAGACTGTAAATGTGGAAGTACACGCTTGATTTGGCTCAACCCAGACTGATGAAACCTCATAATAGCATCGGTTTAACTCAAGAATCAATATTTCTCACGAAACCAGGGGTGTGGATTTAGTCCCCATCCCCTTACAGCCAAGAGAGATCTGGCTTTACTTCACTAGTAATGTCCATGACAGATTCTACATATACAGACATTGAAGAATAGTAAAAGGTATATATGTTGTTGGTATAATGTCGATGTGGCTATGAACAGATCCTTTTTGCCTCATTTTTGCTCGTCTCTCTAGTAAAGAGTCGCTGCAGCCGCACCTGAAACATGCAGGAGGTGAACTTGTTTTAGGCTTCGTTCACATTAATGTGTAGTACCAATATTAAGGAGGACGAACGTTTTAAATTCTTATTCACATTAAAAGTGTGAACTCAAACAGTAATGTATTTGGCTAAAGAAAGGTGTGAAAGAAAGAAACAAAACTCGATACGGTTATATTTTAAAGCAGAAATAAATAATTCTAATAATACAATCAACGTCTAATTTGGAGACAGTCGTGTTGTTCTTAGTCTCCCTTTTCACCTCTGCATGCCTCTATGACATACATTCAAACATGACGGTAGATAATGAAGAACAACACATTTGTGTGTAGTAATATTGTATGTGGTAATGTGACTGAAATACAGCGTTGTCATTGGTCTAATCTGCCTAATCTACACGGTTCTTCAAATTGGATGGAAACACCACCAGGAAATGTGCACAAAGGACTTAGTTTCAAGTTGAGTTCTTGGGGCTCTGTAGTTCCTAGAAGTATGTTGTGTACAACCACTGAGAGTTACTTAATGAACACAAATCAAGAGTGTGAAAATGGGAAACGTCCAAACTACGAAAGCAAAGTGGTGTAACTGTCTCACTGTATTTCTCACCCCTCCATCAGTGTTGAAAGGCAAGAAGCTGAGCCTGCCGGCATAAAAGGAGCAGGAGACGGCGACTCCCAGCAGACTCAGGGGGTGTGGAGATGACTTCTTGGAATCTCTTGACCTACAGCAACCGATGCCTGAGACAGAGAGCCAACTATCGGGGAAAAACACTAGTCTTCTTGATGATTGCTGATAGAACTGGTAAATGCCAACAGACACCAGAGCTGAACAAAGATCATCCCAGATCAACCTTTGGATTTCTGTGTTCAGCATCTTGCCTTAAACTTCTTTTCATTGCTGTTCAAATAGGAGAAAAGGCTTTTTTTTTTTCTACATGTGAGGTGTATACGCTTATTTTTTTATTTTTTTATAATGTCACAAATAGGGTCGACTCTGAGAAGTACCTTGTTTGGCTCGGTAATGAAATGCACAAATGTACAGTCTTATTAAAGAGTGAGATAAAGAGTAATGTATCTCAGTGCCTCATGAGGATTATGTCCGGTTTTTCACAGTATTTTCTTCTTTTTGTCTAGTTAACCGTATGCATATGTTGTAATACATGTACTCATTCTTAGAGACATTTAAGGACGCCAACAAGAAGATTTTCACGCCAACATTTTCTAAAAACTTTGCTTTCTAGAATTGCTCAAAACAACATTTTAACAGGTTACTCTCATTTAAAAAATCTGAACTCTTTTGTTAGCAGCAAATATTTGTAGTTTCATCTTAATATTAAGATGTAATCCATGAATAAATTACTTTAATGCCAGCAGTCTTTTTGTCATAGACGTCAGTATTTTCAAATGGTGTCTATCTCATTTGGAATTAAACTTTCAATGTGTTTATTGATTTTTTTATTTTTTTATTTTATTCCTCTGCTTACTGTGTTGAAGAACCTAAAATGCATAAATTGTTCTACAGCTTTAATATAGATTTCATACAATCTTAAAACTACACTACATCACATTTTGGATGTAGATGGAGCACAAACTGCACCCCAGTAATAAACTCATGAACACCTCCCAGCAGTGACGTGTCAGTTATCTCAATATTGAAATCAATACAGAGTAAAGCAATAACGAATGACTGAATGACGATCACAGTTCCCATAGCGGGAGCGAGGAGTGCGCAGATATTTGGAGTCAGAATCCTTTTGCGCTTTGGCTGGTTGTGATATTTCAATTAACTGTCTGAGTGTGAAGAATTCAACAGATTTGACATTGTGCTGCTCAGTGATTGAGTAGAGGTGATCATGATGTTCGATGGGTGCATTTCTATTACATTTAAAGCCCTATTGTTAACTGCAACTTTTTTCCAAATTAGTCATTCATAAAGGATTATTTCAACTATCTTTTTTTGTTTGTTTTTTTGCATGGTATCACCTCCATTAAAGATTTTATGAGAATCACCCTCCAGTGTTGCTTTTTTATTATTGAAATCGTATTAGTACAGATGAGAAGCACAGATAAAGACCACCAGTTGGGGCTGTGGATCTGTCATGTGACATTAACGTAAGATAAGATGTTTCTTTATTGATCCCCAGTGGGAGAAATTCAAATTTGACACAAAAGCATAGGGGAAAATGTAGTGCATAAAGTATGGAGTGTAAAATTAACAATAAAGAATACTAAGTAGAATTATTATTAAGATATAATATAAAATCTAAAAACTATAATTAAAGATATATACACTATGTTCAATACACATTCCCTACTATGGTTTTATATATATTATTTCCATTATTCCATGCGCATTACAATCTAATATACATGGTTATCTTAGCCAGTAACATGTTTTAGATGGAATTTTATCGAGTTAAGGAAATAGAGAAATACATTAAAAAAATGTTTTTGGGTTGTATGTACAAACTATATATACAGTGTGTTCATACAGATGTGATTTAAATTATAATATTGCACAGGTTACAGAAGGAGGTTGTGGCATAGTGATGAAATCTTGCCAGTACCAGTCAGTAACAGTTTTATATTAGATTTGCTTTTATTTAGGATAAACATGTTATTATTTAGATTCATGAGACTTTTTCACCACCTTCCCAAAACTTACAAGGAGGAGCACTAACATTGTTCCACAGCCACACTGACAAGTCTGTCTGCAGATGTGTCTGCGAGTGCAGGCATCGGTCGATGCTGATATCTCAAATTGCCCGATAATCGATCCCGATTATTCAGCCAACTGATGTGGCAATACCTTGATTGATTGATTGATGCCGGCAACAGCCAAGATGGCCACGTGACAAATGATAATATACAGTTTCACAAATTCAAAAAAAGAAAACCTTTCAGTTTTCTTGACCAAAATGTCTAATTATGTTGGATACAGTGCTCTCTGTCTTAACTGCCATGCATTTTCTATAAATCTCCAACCAACTGAGCCAACTCAACATTTCACCTTTAGCAACTAAAACAAATCAGAGTTATCAATTGGATTCAAATATTTGGTTCCTCAAGTCACTGTACACAGGGCAGAGAAAAAGAAATTCATGCTCAATGACACTAAGATCACAGAAAACACATCAACGCTGCTGGATATACTTTATATTGCCCACACAAGGACCTCTGCCCTCCCCTTAAATTAAATATTATATCAGGTTCTGTGAAGTAATCTTCCTTGATTTGAACCTTGAGCTTTGGTTTATACCAAATCTCCTCTTTCCATGATTCCTTATGGCTCTGTAGTAGCTTTTGTTAAATTATAGTTATATTGCACTGAAAATTGTTCCTGAGTGTAAAGGGAAAATTGGAAAGAGAAAATATTGCAGAAACATCCCTTTCAAGGATATTCTTTGTGCTCAATCCCAGTTAAAGATCTTTTCGGTCAACATGCCCTCTGGCAACCGAGCAAGCCGGTTTCACAGACAAACTATTTAACATTTCTGCTGTATATTTAGCTTGAATCTGAATAGCATTACTATCAGGGCTATCTGTAAAACCTTTAAAAACATATTCTACCAGCATAAAATTAAATTGAGCCACCGTTGCGTCACAGAGTTTTGAAAATGTTAAAAAACGAAGGTCAGGAAACAATTTCAACCTTCTCAGTACAGATCAGCTGACTCTATCAATACATTTCTTGCTTCTTGAAAAGCTCATTTTATTAAAGACAGGATATATATATATACCTTTATTAATCCCTTGTAAGAGAAATTCAAATTACAAACATCCGCATTGGGGAATATAGTGCAATAAAAAGAGTACAGTGTACACACAATAGTATCACAAAAAAGAACATTATAAAATATAATAGAAAATATTAAACTATAAAAATATATACACTACATGCAATGTGCAGTACAATGGTGTGCAAAATATTTTAAGCAGCTTGACGAGAGTACATGTGCAATTTAAGATAAATAATATAAGTTAGGTTGAATGTGGAGTCTGATGGCTGATGGTACAAACGAGCCTCCAAAGCGCTTTGAGGCTCGAGGTGGATCAGTCTGTGGCTGAAAGTACTCCTGAGCTCAGTGTAGATCCTCTCTACACTGAGAGGGATTGTCCATGATGGCTTCCAGCTTCCCTCTCATCCTCTTCTCAGTCACTGCCTCAACACTGTCCAGCTCCATCACCACCACCGAGCTGGCCTTCCTCACCAGCTTGCTCAGTTTGTTGGCACCATGAGTCACGATGCCTCCTCTCCAGCACACCACAGCAAGGAAGATGACTCTGGCCACTACAGTCCAGTCCAGTTTATTGTTGAGTGTCACCCCCAGGAACTTGTAGGTGTCCACCATCTCTACCTTCTCCCCCCTAATAGCAAGAGGGGAGGGGGGCCTCTTGCTGCGCCGGAAGTCCCCCCCCAGCTCCTTGGTTTTCCCTGTGTTGAGCTGTAGGTGGTTACTGTCGCACCATCTAGAGAAGTTCTGGATCAGGTCTCTGTACTCCTCCTCCCTATCATCTGTGATAAAGCTGACGATGGAGGAGTCATCCGAGAACTTCTGTAGGTGGCACGCTCCCGAGTTGGAACAGAAATCTGAGGTGTAGAGGGTGAACACAACGGTAACAGTACAGTTCCTTGGGGTGTGCCAGTGTAGCCTGACATATTGTGGTCTGTCTGTGAAGTAATCTGTAATCCAGGCCACAAGGTCCTGATCCACCTGCATCACAGAGAGCAGAGATAGAACGAAGAACATGATCCTCACGATACTCTGTGGCTTCTCCAGGTGGGTGTAAGGTCTGTGAAGCAGGTAGATGATGGCATCGTCCACTCTTATGTCTGCCTGGTACGCAAACTGCAGTGGGTCTGCATACCAGGGGTCTGTGGTGCTGTAGAACCAGTCTCTCAAAGGTCTTTATGACGTGATGTTAAAGCTACCGGCGTTAAGTTATTGAGAACACTGGGACGTCCTTTTTTGGGAACAGGAACTAAGCAGGAAGTCTTCCAGATCTTTGGCACCTTATTCAACCTCAGGGAGAGGTCAAAAAGATGCCGTGGGGCTCTCACATAGGGGGAGGGTGTGTGGGGTGGAGAAATGGAGAGGATGGGGGAAGGGAGGGAGTAGAGGGGGGAAGAGGAAGGATGAGAGGAGTGGTGTTACTTTCATCTGGGTAAAGAAGGGGGAGATGGGCTGTGAAAGAGGAGGATGGGGTAGCCAAGGTGTGAATGGGGGAACCTGAGAGAGGGGTGAGTCAAACCTGTTGAAAAACAGGGTTAACTCGTTGGCTCGTCCCATTGTCCCCTCCACTGAAACTACTGACCTCTTTATGCTGCTCCTCGCCCCCCCCCCACACACACACCTCTCTCGTGTTGGTCTGCTGCAGCTTCCCCTCTATCCTGTTCTTGTAACAGCCTTTGGCCATCCTTAACTCCCTCCTCAGCTCCCTTCTGAATGTCTTTCTTTTCTTCGTCTCCTGCCATGAAAGCCATCTTCTTTTTGTTCAACAGGGCTTTGATGTCTCTGTTGGTCCAGGGCTTGTTGTTAGGGAAACAGCGAATCCTCTTGGTAGGGATAATGCTGTCCTCACAGGACCTGATGTAGTTTGCAACACACTGGGTGAGGGTCAGGATCCTTGAGATTTTAACATGGTTAAAATCTCCATTTATTACAATGAATGCGCTGGGATATAAGAAGTGGTGTAGTTTAAGAGCACTGATCCAAACTTGAATATGTGGTTGCTCTGTTGTTCACCGTGTTTTCTAAAACAGTTTTTTCACTGTTAATGGAAAATCTCTATTTACTACCCCATAAACTCATAATATATATATATAATATTCAACATTTTTTTGCAAATGAATCTCCTTCTCTACAACCAACACAATATCATCAGCATATAACAAAATACCCAAGTTTATATCGTCAGTTGGTATTCCTGAATCAGCCTGCTTGATTTCTTGAGCTAAATAATTTAAACAGAGGACAGATAAAACAGGGAGAGCACATCTCACTGTTTCACCCCAAATAGAGTAGGAAACCAGCCAGTCCTAAGATTATTTAACTGTAAACATATAACAGGGGCTATGTACAGGGCTTTGATGGCAGTATAAAATTGACCATCAATTATTTTTTTGAATTAACTTATGATCCTGTCAGAAGATATGGCATAAATACAAACAAGTAAACCTGGATATAAACAGTGCACGGTTTAAAATACTTTAAAACGTATAATTGTTTATCCAGCACATTTGTTTTGGTGAGTAATACCAAATTAAACCAACTTTTTTTTGTTTTTGTTGACAAGAAAACTGCAGGGCGCCTCAGCACTTAAAATTATTTTTTTAAAAAAATTGTTTTGTTTTGTCTGAAACAACAAAACATTATATGTCAAGTAAACAACAAGTATTTATCATATGTTGCTATACCAGGATGTATACATGTACAAAAATGATAAAACCATGTCCTACCCATCATCCTACCAAAAGAGACTTCCTCTTTGTTAAAAAATAATAAAATAATAAAATATACCTCTTACAGTTACACTACATTGTTCGGACACAAGACAAAACAGCACAAATGGGAATTCTGATGAGCGTTTATTCAAAGCTGCAGTACAAATGTACAACATTTTGCCCTTTTTAACATAAATATGTAACAGTTATATTGTAGTGCATTTTCAGGCTGGAAAACATAATCCACAATGAAACAGTGCATTACTTTTCTGGGTAAAGTACACAAATCAACCTCTTTAGTACTTGAAATGAGCCGCCATTTCAATATGTGCATTAAGATAAGTGGACTGAAATAAGCCTTCAGTATTTGACTATTAAGGACTATTTGAAACATTTGTTATACAGTGTTCTGGCTGTTGTTGACATTTCGTACTTATTGCACCATATATAAAGATACAGTAACCATAAAGGAGTCTTGCTTGCGTGCTTAAAGAAGACTCAAGCCGCCAAACAGTACATTCAACTGTTCTCTGAATCCCACCCATCAAGCTTCAGTAGTGCTGATTTAAGGCCCCCGTACTCTCAGTAATTTTGAGCTTTCAAACACATAAAAGCTGACAAAGAAGGGAAGAAGAATCTAGCTACTACATTTCCTTCTGTGTTGAAGTTTCACATTCACTCTCTTCGACTTCACCTTTCTGGAAAGAACAACAGAGAAAATGCAATGAGAAAACAATTCCACAGATTAATATGTGTGTATGATAGATTTTAGCAGAGAGGATGACACTGACCTAAAATCCATTGATTTTATTTCATTACTGATGCTACCATTTAAGGCTGCACCAGGTACTTAGATTGCCATCAGCTGCCCTTGAAACCTGAACTTTCCATGTGCTCAAAACTTTAGTGGTAAAATAAAATAACTCTTCTGCAGAACATTACCTTTGCCAGATGTGGGTAATAGTGTTTGAGGATGTTGGAGATGGCGATATAAATCACGTTAAAAATGACTGAAACTGCGACAGAGAAGAAGGCGATTCCAGAGAGCACACACAGCAGAGTCAGCCCTGCTACAAACAACAGGAACCCTGACAGACACAGACAGAAACAAAATGATGAGCACATTATGGCCCACAGAGGGGCTGCATCATATTAAGCTGCTTTTGACATGATTACACCTACCCTCAAAGAACACAAAACCTACTGCAGTCATAATAATAGTCACAAGAGCAAAAGTGAGGAAGAGTCCAACGGGCAGTGCGGCCATGGCGCCGAACATCAACACTGACAGAGCTAAGACAGGGTGGCTGCTGAGGTACAGCCCGACTCTTGTATTCATCACCCTTGATACCTGTTAGAGAGAGAAAGACACGATGAAGCTGGGAGGAAACGCAGAATGTCCCCTGTACATAAACTTAAGAGTAAGACACATTACCTTGGGGTCATCATAAAAGCGGTTCAGCAGGGTGGTCCATCCTCCACACAGCTGCTGAAGGTCAGTCACACTACTGCTGCTGCTGTGCTGCATCTTCACACATCTGACGAGACTGAAGACATGAGTTAAATCACACAACTGAAGTTAATGCAAACACTTACAGCAAGTTGGTGCGTTTCTTTAGATACGGACTGGATTCAAGTGAGCAACAGTGACTGTAACAGAAGACAAGACTCCAGTTCGCGAGCTAAGAGCTGTACTAAAGCTCAGCTGCACTATAAAGTACTTAAAAACATTTCTGAAAACACATAACAAAGTTAACAAGTACAAACCTGATCAATGTAGTAGACTTGGGGTTGAGTCTCGGCTTTTGTTCACAGTCTGTGAAACTGCGTCCTGTTGTTCAGAGAGCTCAGACACTTTAACACTACCAACACACCCTTTTTAAATACATGCCTCCTTCTTCTTTTTCTTCCTCCTCCTTCTTCCTCTTCTGGATTCCTGATCAGAGAGACTCTAAAAAGGCTTGTTGGCGTTGTTGCTGCCATCTACTGTTTACCAAATATGTTTCATTACTAATATGATTGACTATGACTGTGACATCTTACTATATTAAAACATTTGTGGAATATCGTAGTCATGTACAGAAAAAAACAAGTATCTAAGTTAACACAAAATATCATCTACATTTCATAAAATATCAGATTTCACCCTGATAGAAATACAACTGGTAAGATCTATATCCTCTGATAAAGTATGAGAGCTTCAAACTAAACTAAATAACTACAAAATATGAGCAATAAATCTTTGCCAAATAATCAAATAAGCAGCCAAAATAACCAATTAATCAGTGCATAGTTAATCATATTCATAAATATATTTGTGTATTTATTATGGTTTCTGTTATCATTTTATTTCTCTTCATACTTGTGTAAATAATATGGATTCATTCAGTGGAAATAATACAGATATTTACAGTGGCTACTATTCTTATTCTAGTCTAGATTATTGACTTGAGTGTGAGTGACGCACCAGTGTTCAGCACTCTCCAGTGGTCACAGTGAGAAACTGCAACACTTCATTAAATTCAGTGTAATCATTCTTTATATCACAATGTACAACTCAGTATTAGTGTGATTAGTCTCATCAGTGCTGGTAATAACTGCATTAATAAAGAGCAGTGTTCTGATGTGGAGTTTCTGTTGACTAATAAGAAAAAATATTATATAAATACTTTTTATTATTATTATTATTATTATTATTATTATTATTGCAACAATATAGATTTAATCTTCTCTATGCAATATTAAAAGCCTATTGTATACTGTGCAACCTTAATGGCTCAATGTTAATTTGATTGAAAGAAACTGAGCATTGCAAATCTACAATCTACAAGTGTATTACTATGCATACAACCACATATCTTCTCTTCCTTCTCCTTCATATTACTCATCGTCAATAAAGGACCACTGTCACTAATTATGATGGACGACATGTCCGGCCTTCTCCGCTTCTGCCTAATTGTGCCATAAACCACCAATTGTCTTTATTGGACAGGTGATGAATTATGAAATGATTTGTTTGTGCGGTAAAAGAAGATCTCCTTCTTGAATTATGAATACAAGCACTTTTTCTGAATGTTTTGTATTAAATAAATTCACACATATTCAAAATGCAAACATGCTGCAGTTTGCATGTACAGCAACCTGTCACTCTGATGAGCGGGGAAACATTGGGAACCCTGCTGCTGTTTAATATAGAGCTTCAGTAAAGAATACCAACCCTTTTTAATCATGCACGGTGTGATACAGTGATTGATTGTTGAACTGCTGCTGTGACTGGTCTGTTATGAGGGAAATCACAACAGAAGTTCTCCAGAGATCCAGAAGAGGGGGGGGTGTTCCCAGTTTACTTCACAGCTGTCAGACTGAAACTGCTCCTTAAAAATAATGGCCGCACTTTCTCCCCTTTCTGCTCTGTGCTGCTATTAAATGGCAACAGACAGATTTCTCTGTGAAGACGTAGAGTGATCAGAATATTAAATGACTGAACTTCACCACCACCGCTGATTACTTCTTCAATCAAAGATAGGAATTGCTGGTCTCCCCACCGCCACACACAAATTAAGTCCAGTCCCTTGAGTTTTGGATAGCATTAAATATATACGGGCACATAACTGCAAGGTCTTTCACGAGGGGAATGGCAGTGTGATCTGTTTTGAACTATGCCAAAGAGAGACACCCTGGGGACCAGTGATGACAACTTATTTAGACCCTTTATAGCTTCTGGCTATACTAATTAATCACACTCTGTTGTATTGAGTACAGGGGAATGATTTGGTGAGAGAGAGGAGAGAGACTGCATACACTTCTCCAGACTGCTAAACACAATGAACTCAGTGAACCAAGGCTCGGGGAGTAAAGCTGAGTGTGGATGTGCAGTTTGTGCACACACAACGAGGAACTCCCAGTGATAAAGCACAACTCTTCTTTCTGCTCTCCTTTTTTATGGCTCTTCCACATCAGATTATACATCTCATAGAGGAAACTCCCACTTGTCCTTCCTGTATTCACTGCAGCCAGGTTGCTGCAGTGCTTCAAACCACTTCATTTCTTACTGCTGACCCACACATCAACCCACTGCTTCACCTTATAACCAGACCTGGCTGACAGCAGACTTTGTGAAAGGCTTTATCTTCTGTCACAGCTGTGGAACATCTGGGAAAGCAGCCCGTCAAATATATATATTCTCCTACGGATCAACTTTTCTCATTTAATGTTATCCTTGCGGAGTCAACCTAGTAGCTCATTAGATTCCATCACAACTCACAACTTACTTGGTTTTGAGACAAGCAGTGTGATTTTTCCACTCTGAGGTACAATAAAATAAAATCTCTTCCACAGCTCCACAGCTCAAACCATCATGAAGTTAAATAACATGATAACATCGATAATTAATCAGAAATAAAGTTAAAATTGTTGTTATACAACTTGCTGAGAGAACTGAACTCAATATAATAAATCACTTTTGGAAAGAATCAATATCAAGCAAATATAAAAGGTTAGTGTTAGTTTGCATTAGCCAGTGTTGCACAACTGCAACCAAATTAACAGACAGTTCACCGTTTTATTAGAATGAAAATTTCACACACTTCACGTACATTTTTAGCATCTTTTTAGTTTTATCTGTAAATCAGAAATGGTAAACTTTTTTTGCGATAAACTTGACGAATACATTTTGACCCAAACAAATCCTATCTGTTTCAAATAAAACCACATACACATTTAAAATTGTTCTCCCGTTGAACCAAATAAGACAGCTGAAAGTTGCTCCTGAGACAAATAACTTGTGTGACAAGCGGCCCGCTCTCCTACTTGAGGGTAGATGAAAATTGAATGTTCTTAATGTGTGCCATATAGCACTGGTGCAGAGATATATCTGAGCGTCTGAGAGCAAATTGACTGTGCGATATGTCTACTGGCACGTGCCGAGCCCATCAACACATTGCAGCTCGGGCTGTGATTGATGGGCTGTCAGCAAATACCAATTTGCTTGTGCTGATTGTAAAACCTAATCACTGGGAGAGGAGGAGCATAAAATAGTCAGAAATCTCCTGTGGTTCCCTGCTACCTGATGCGTGTCCACCTCTGTGTGGCTTCTAAAATTGTATCATGTGTTACATTATTGACGTCTGTCCCTCGCTGACATGCTGGAGACAAGGCCCACTGTGTTATATGAGAAAATGAGAGGGGACCTGGTGCTTTTTTCTCTCTCTCCTTTTCGCTTGTCACACTTGATACCCACACCCCTCCATCACATCTCTAACCACCTCCTCTCCTCTCTCACAGTCCAGACTTTGTTCACCTCTCTTTGAAGTTTGAAGCACAGGAGTATTCGGCCAACAGCTGGCCACAGGAGAACAGAATGTCTTTGGAGTCTGTCCTGTGTCAAATAGGATAGTCCTCATTGTCAGTGGTTGTCATTTTGCCAGATGAAGGGGGCCATTTTTGGTTCCTGTCCCCCTGACTGGGGAGAGCGAGAGGCTCAAAGGGAGCTCCCCGGAGGGTGGTAAAGGGCGCTGCGGAGGACAGAGTCAGAGACCTCGTCAGCCTCTCAAAGCTCTCCAACACCAGCAGCAGCATCACTGCACACACACACACACACACACACACCTCATTATGAAGCTAGAGTACACAGCCAGCGAACTTAGCTTAGCAGAAAGAGAGGGAACAGAGGGAAACAGCTAGCCTGGCTCTGTCCCAAGGTAATAAAATTTACATACTAGCCCCTCTGAAGTTTGTTTAACGTATATTTGGTCAAAAACCTTAGATAAAAATCTTATTATTATCTGTTTTACCAGGACCAGAGTTTGGCTAGAACCAGTCATTTCATATGACTGCTGGTTGCCTGGCAACTGGTCCTAGCCAAGACTAGCTAGCTAGCTAGCTAAATCCCAAAACAGTGAAATGCTGTTTTTTTACCTTTCAGTTTCTGTACCAATTAAACAAAAACAGATTAAACAAAACAAAAATACAACACGTCACGGCAGATATAGACATTGAAACTGTAGTGAGAGGTTTATATGTTGCTTGTATAATGTCGATTTGACTATGAACAGATCATTTTCTATCTATAGTCTATATTCCTTTAAGCAACAAATGCAACCAGGCTTAACTGTACTTAAAGGCATGTTTTAGGAGTTACATATTGCTACTTGCATTTCTATCAGCACATTGTACATCTCTGTTGATGAAGCCCAACATCGGGCTTCTGGTTTATCATCGACCTCATTATGGACAGTGATTGAATTTGCAATATTTAATCAGCGTGTTTCCCACATTCAATTACAATGAATCAACACCGCTGCCGCAGTCTATCAGAAAACAAACTTTTTCATCAATTCGATGCAAAATCTATGAGGCGCCATTGAATGACAAAGTAGTGTGGAAATTTTCAAAAGTTGGGTCAGTGGGTTTACAGTTTGAAAAACAGCACCTTCAAAGAAAAATGGACCTGATCAGCAAAATGTTGTTGCATTGTGTTGTTTCTGCTCCTCATCAGATATGCAGTTCCCCGCTCAGCTCCATATTTTGATGAATTGCTGTTGCTGCCATTTGTTTTTGCACTTTGATACGCTGTTTGAGTTATGATTAAAGAGCGAGATGGCTAAAACGTGATGCTGGATTAGTGCCAGCTCTTAAGAAAGGACAGAATAAAAAGAAGGAGGAGGAGGAGGAGGAAGGACGAAGGGTCAGAGAGGTCGTCATTAAAGAAAGGTGACGGTAGAGTAATACACCCTCATCCATTATTTGCTGCACCTTTGTTTGAGTCTGACCTGGAGGAGACCTTTGGACTGAAGGAAGAGGAGGGGGAGAGCAAAGAGAGAGGATGAATAAGGGTGGCAACATGGGGCTGCAGGAGGAGTTCCTCTGTCTCATTAAACCTGTAGCCATCCTTTTGTATTTTCCATCACTTCACAATGTG